CAAGCGATCCTACTGCCTCAGCCTCCCAGGTAGCTGGGACTACAGGCATGTACCACCATGCCTGGCTAATTTTTTCTGTTTTTAGTTGTTTGGCCAATTTCTTTCTATTTTGAGTAGAGACGGGGTCTCGCTCCTGCTCAGGCTGGTTTCGAACTCCTGAGCTCAAACAATCCGCCCTCCTCGGCCTCCCAGAGTGCTAGGATTACAGGCGTGAGCCACTGCTCCCAGCCTGTTTGCTTTCTTAATAAATCTTTCAGGGGAAGATGATGTCTGACTTTAAAGTGGTATCATTAAGAATACGGTAAATATTCATGATTAACAGTTTTAATTGTGGAATCTGGAAGCACTTTGGAAATGTAAATTGGAGTTTTTCTGTTTTATCCTGTCTTCTTCCAATTACAGAAGAAATAAAGGTTCCTGATAAAATGTTGAGAAAATATGGCTGAGGACAAAGAGTAGTCAGGTCTGCTGTGTGTTATGGCCAGTGACAGAATTTTGGAATTTTGTACCTGTTCCTGTAAATACTTTTCTTATTTCTGAAAAATACTTAAGAATCACGGCCGGGCGCGGTGGCTCACGCCTGTAATCCCAGCACTCTGGGAGGCCAAGGCGGGAGGATCTCTTGAGCTCAGGAGTTTGAGACCAGCCTGAGCAAGTGCGAGACCCCGTCTCTACTAAAAATAGAAAGAAATTAGCCAGACAACTAAAAATCTATTTAGAAAAAATTAGCCGGGCATGGTGGCGCATGCCCGTAGTCCCAGCTACTCGGGAGGCTGAGGCAGAAGGATTGCTTGAGTCCAGCAGTTTGAGGTTGCCGTGAGCTGGGCCGGTGCCACGGCACTCTAGCCCGGGCAACAGAGCAAGGCTCTGTCTCAAAAAAAAAAAAAAAAAAAGAATGATGTAAAACAGCCATTTTGGGGGATTAAAGTAGTAAGTTATATGCTGTTTTCCTTTTTCAGATCCTGAGAATCAGACCTTGAAGGAACACTTAATTGATGAACTAGACTATGTACTGGTCCCATCTGAGGCCTGGAATAAATTGCTAAACTGGTATGGCTGTGTAGAAGGCCAGCAGCCCATTGTCAGAAAAGTGAGTATGTGAATTGTCACAAATGCTGGTCAGTGTCTGCAGGTGCTCCCTGGGGAGTATTGACTAGTGTTGATTTCCTAGGAAAATGAACACACGTAAGGTGCTTGAGGCCTTGTTTCTGGTTCTCTTTAGAGAATCGTAGTTGTGACTGGTGGTAAGTGAGGCTGCTCACCTAGGATATTACAGTGAGTGGCCTCCAAACATCAGAGCTACCCAGTGCTGCCATCAGTGCACTGTCTGGAAAGCTCTATGAGAGAAAGCTCATTTGGGGCATATGGACATACAGTAATTCCTGCTTCTTTATCTTTATCTTTAAACTTTTCTGGTATCTCTTTTTCCCCATCCTTAAGAGTCTTTAATTACACTGTTGAGTAATTAGTTTGTTTTTTTTTAAGGGGACAAGGTCTCGTTCTGTTGCCCAGGCTGGAGTGTGGTGGTGCAATCATAGCTCACTGCAGCCTTGAACTCCTGAGTTCAAGTGATCTTTCCACCTCAGCCTTCAAGTAGCTGGGACTACAGGTGTGCACCACCATGCCTGGCTTTTTTTTTTTTTTTTTTTTTTTTTTTTGTAGAGGTAGGGCTCTACCTGTATTCTCTAGTCCTCTAGTTTGACAAATCCTGCAAGGCAGGTATCCTGATCCCTGCTTAGAGATGAACAATGACTTCTGTTTTGTGCAGTGTCTGGCCTATTGGGCAAGTTGTGCCTCTTCTGGTAATTAGTTCTGAATTAATGGGTTAATTAGCTTGTGAACTTTGGGTAATGACCATCTGGTGGTTATCTCAGTGCTTTATTGTAGATATGATAGGTAATTTTTCTGTATATTCAGGCATGTATTTTAAGGGGAAAGAGTAGTCGATTAGAGTATACTTTTGCTAAGTCTGAAAGAAGACCTTTCTGTTCAAAGCTGACCTTCTGAGACCTACCTGGAGGCCCTATTGTCTCATTAAAACCAATAAGGAGGCCGGGCACGGTGGCTCACGCCTGTCATCCCGGCACTCTGGGATGCCAAGGCGGGTGGATTGTTTGAGCTCAGGAGTTCGAAACCAGCCTGAGCAAGAGCGAGACCCCGTCTTTACTCAAAATAGAAAGAAATTAATCGGACAACTAAAAATATATAGAAAAAATTAGCCGGACATGGTGACGCATGCCTGTAGTCCCAGCTACTCGGGAGGCTGAGGCAGAAGGATCCTTGAGCCCAGGAGTTTGAGGTTGCTGTGAGCTAGGCTGACGCGATGGCACTCTAGCCCGGGCAACACAGTGAGACGCTGTCTCAAAAAAAAAAAAAAAAAAAAAACCGGTGAGGAATAGGCTTCTCTCTGGTTCTTTTAAGATGCTCTTGCTCGTAATGAGTGGATAAAAGGTTTTTAAACTCTTGGTACAGGCACTGGTGGCTTTAAAAACCTGTGCTTCTGATCCCCTGATTACTGAAGGAAACTGATTATCATGAAGTTTCTACTCATGATTGTCATCAGTAGGTTTGCTACTGGTGAGATATGTTGCTTCTAAGACTGCCCAGGTGTGGAACCATGGCACCTTCACCCCTGCCTCTTGTTCGCAGGTCGTGGAGCATGGCCTGTTTGTCAAACACTGCAAAGTTGAGGTGTATTTGCTGGAACTGAAGCTCTGTGAGAACAGTGACCCCACCAATGTGCTGAGTTGCCATTTCAGTAAAGCAGACACCATTGGTGAGCACCTGGACTGGGGTCCCAATTATTGGGTGAGAGAGTACAGGGCATTGTGGCTGATGGGAAGGAAGCTGGGGTTCCCTCTTCGTATTTTCTACACAGATCTTCTCAGGCTGTGGTTGCCAGTCCTGACCTGGGAGTCTATTCCCTGAGGATTCTCGTGAAGAGCCAAGCCTGGGAATCATGTTTTATAGAACACCCAGCGTGGGCCTTGCCCATTTGTCATGTGCTAATGAAGATGAAGTAATGCAGATTCAGAGAAGTTAAAAAGTAACTTATTAAAAAAATCTCAGCAAGAAAGTGGCAGAGCTAGCTTTTGAAACCAAATCTGTCTTAAGTCCAAAGATAAGCTTTCTCACTTTCTATGTTGCTTCTGTGCTATAAATGGAAACCACATCATGAGAGAAGAAGGATAGGCAAAGTTTCTGGGCATATGAATGCAAAAGGATGCCCATGGAAGACGATTGGCCTTAGGGGTTATCAAGGGCCTGAGGTCAATCAGAACTTTTGATCCAAAGCACCTGTGGGCATCCAAAAAGGAAGGAGGGTGAGCATTGGTTTTCTATGGCTGTCTTTAGCCTGGCATCTGGAGAAGGCCCTGAGTAATGTTTCTGCCTTCTTTAGCGACCATCGAGAAGGAGATGCGAAAGCTGTTCAACATCCCTGCAGAGCGTGAAACAAGGCTCTGGAACAAATACATGAGCAACACCTACGAGCAGTTGAGCAAGCTAGACAACACTGTCCAGGATGCTGGGCTATACCAGGGTCAGGTAGGAGGGCCCAGGCCATGCCCCAGCAGGCAGCTCTGCCCAGGGCATGTGGTCACATACCATCTGGTTCTAAGCATGTTGGATGTGCAGTGGTTTGAACTCTCCTGATTTAGTTTCCCCTTTCACTCAGGTGCTAGTCATTGAGCCTCAAAATGAAGATGGCACGTGGCCCAGGCAGATCCTGCAGTCAAAGTAAGTGAACTTTATCTCCCTTGTGTCTGGGCTCATTTGTGTAAGAGATGGTCTTTCCTGAGGCAGTTACTTGTACTAAGAAAAATTGTTCTGAATCAGATGAAAAAAACATACTCAGTTTCATATCCAGAGTCCTCAATCCCGGATGAAGACCCCGGCCTCTGGTAAACAGCATGCCATCTAAGGGAAACCTGTCAGGGTATCTCAGCAAGGTGGTGAGCATCTCTTTGTTGAGAATGAGAGGAGGAGGAAGACATCTGAGGGGCCAGGATCTGAGATTGCTGCTCTGCCAAGAGCTGGCTTTGTTATTTGTCAACTTCTTTCATTTTCTCCACCTGTAGTTAGAGGCTTTGATGGAAAAGAGGAGGGCTCAGGCATGGGGTCTTATGTATGACTTTAAGAAGATAGGTGGATTCCATCCCACTCTATCCAGTGGCCATTGTTGCCCTTTAGCTTGCTAGGGGATTTCTTCAGTTACTAATCTTGGACTCTAGGTGCATCTGTCTGAGGAGATGTTTATGTGGTATGTGGAACTGTGCATGTTTTTAGAAGGGGAAAGAAAGAAATAATAAATATTCCTTATAATGTAAATTAGGAAAATCATGTCTGCGTTGCAATGGTTATGGGGACAATGTTGGACTCTTCCCTTTTTCCTCAGTCAGGCTTTGGACTGTGACCATTACATAGTGATGGGCCCATAGCTCAGTTTGAGAACCATGAAAATTACAGGCCTTCTCTTGAGAAGCATGCATGAAGACACAACATTTTGCAAAATTTCAGGGGTTTCATAGACCCTCTGAAACCCAGCCACAGACTCCAGTTTAAGAAACCTTGGTCGCTGGTTCCTGACAAGGTGACAAAATATCTGTGGTAGGTAGAATAATGCTCCCCCCACCAAGATGTCTATATTGTAAAACCCAGAACCTGTGAATATGTTAGTTTACATGTAAAACCCAAAACCTATGAATATGTTAGTTTACATGGCAAAAGGGACCTTCCAGATGTGATTAAGGATCTTGAGACAGTGAGATTGTCCAGACGGGCCCAGTGTAATCACAAGGGTCCTTGTGAGTTAAAGAGGCAGGCAGGAGAGTCACACAAAGAGGTGTGAGGATGGAAGCAGAGTCAGGGTGATGAAATGTGAGAAAGACTCAACTGGCCATGAGCCAGACAATACAAACAGCTTCTAGAAGTCACTAAAGCCTTCATGAAGGAATTGAGCCCTGCCAACACTTCGATTTTAGTTCATAGAGAACCATTTAGGATTTCTGATCTTCAGAACTGCAAGATAATAAATTTGTGTTGTTTTAAGCCATTGAGTTTGTGGTAATTTGTGACAGCAGCAATAGGAAACTAATACAGCCCAGACAGCCATCTCCTTCTTGGAACTGGAAATGCCATAGAACTAAGAGAAAATAACATAAAAGCTGCAAGATCCCCCCAGGGAAACAAAAGGTGGTTGAATCGCAGTCTGTGAGGTAGGTTGGTAGCTCAGAGCAGTCCTGGCCAGGGGAGACCATTTTAGTTGTGCCTTTTTCTCTTCTCAACATTGCTTCTCCCTATTCCCCCCACACTAAGAGGCTTAAGAGAGTCTAGTGAAAGGAGAGAGCTTTTGGAAAAGAAGAGTGCCTCATTGAGATTACCTGAGATTAGAATCTCCTGGTAAGATATGGCCAATGGGGAGTGAGCCCAGAGTGGAATTCCTGAGGTATATCGCCCTTCCTCACTACCCCACCTAGTGTTAGACACTGATGTAGGCACTGGGAATACTGTGATGAAACAGATAATCTCTTTATCTTCGAGGAGCAGAAAAATACATAAATAAGAAAATCATATGTGTCCAATGTTTATATATAAAAATGGAAAAAAATCAGGGAGAAGAATTAGCAAGTCCTGGGCTTTTGGGAAGGGGCAGATTTAGACAGGATAATGGGGAAGCCTCACTGAGGTATCATTTGAACACGGTCATGAACAAGATAAGGAAGTCAGCAATGAGTGTGATACTTAATGAAGACAATAACATTGTACGGTAGAAGTGACAGTAGCCACAGAAGTCCTGAGGCAGAAGCATGCCTGGTTGAAAACCAGAAGAAGTTTGTTGTGGTTGGAGCTAAGGGGCATGATAGGAGGGTGGGGGAGGATGAGGCCCAGGAGTTGAGGAGGTGGTAGGCCCTCTGGTCCTTGTGAGACTCAGTTTCTAACTTTGCCTCTATGTGAGGTAGGAGCCTGTTGGGGGGTACAGTGAATGGAGCAGCAGTGCCATCTCATCTGGTAAGCAGCTCACAGGGAGTCAGAATGAGAGACTGACAAGGGTAGTCAGCATAAAAGGAAAATGACAAATTGAAAGCTGGTGCTAGTTGGAGCAGAATTCATGTTCCTGGAATCACAAGAGGATGGAATAAGCATAATAAATATTGTCAAGAAAATGGGGACATGGATACATGAAACAGGAACAAGTATGTAAACTTGGAAACAAAGAATTCAAAGGATGGGTTGAGTAGCAGAATGGCTGAAGACTCAGTGAACATGGGCTGGTTGAATTCTAGAGGCATTATGAAGGGATAAAGAGATGGAAGATAAAAGAAGAAAGGTTGTGCTGTGGAGGATATCAGGATCCATATTTCCATATCAATATATATCTGTATGTCACTATCAACATAATAGGGATTTCAGAAGCAGAAAGGAAATGACAGGACAAGGGGAAGAAAATGTTAGAAGAAATACCCAAGAATTTCTCAGAAATCATAAAAGATCTGAAATTTTTTTTTTAGCTAAATTTAGCAGTGGGGGTTGTATACCAACTTTAGTGACACTAATATTAATAGGTTCTGATAACCCACTACCATCAGACCAACCATAAAGATCTTAAATATAAAGAATACCAAACATGACATATCACCGGAACCTAGACACAGTAGGGTGAAATTAACAACAAAGATGAAGAGAAAATTCCAAATCACTTTAAAAGAAAAAAATCTCTTATAAAGGAATAAGAAGCAGATTGATATCAGACTTCTCAATAGCAACAATGGATCTAAGGGATACTTTTTGAGGGTCAAAAGCAGTTTAGAAATTTATATCCTGCTTCACTATTATTTAAATGTAAAGGTGAAATAATTTTTATGTTCACAATGTCAAGTTCAAAAAAAAAGTAAATAATTTTTCTCTGACAATGTTTTCCACAGAGAACGCCTTTATTTTTTATTTTATTTTAATTTAATTTATTTTTTATTTTATTTTTTTTTTTGAGACAGAGTCTCCCTCTCTTGCCTGGGCTAGAGTGCCGTGGTGTCAGCCTAGCTCACAGCAACCTCAAACTCCTGGGCTCAAGCGATCCTTCTGCCTCAGCCTCCCGGGTAGCTGGGACAACAGGCATGCGCCACCACGCCTTTTTTCTATTTTTATAGAGATGGGGTCTTACTCTTGCTCAGGCTGGTCTCAAACTCCTGAGCTCAAGTGATCCTCCCGCCTCGGCCTCCCAGAGTGCTAGTATTTCAGGTGTGAGCCACCTCGCCCGGCCCACGCAGAACTCCTTTAAAAACCTCTTGGAAGAAGTACTGCTAGAGTCCGGGGGCATGCAGTAAAATCCATAAGGTGTGAGGGTGAGTACACAACTAGTGAAGTGCTAACTTGATCAGAAAAGCAAGGACCTTAGGACTTCAGAGTAAGCAAAAATTTCTTACAGAAGACACAGCGACACCAACTATAGAGGAGGAAGTGGATAGAGTTTTAAATTAAGAACGTCTATACATCAAAGAGTAAAAAGGCAAGCCACAGAGTAGGAGAAGATATTTGCAATATATATGTCTCATAAATTACTTGTATCCGGAATCTCAAAGAAACCCCTACTGGTTAATAAGAAAAAGTCAGACAAGCCCACTAGAAAAAGAGGCAAAAAAATGTAGAATGATATGCATATTCTGCAACTCAGTGATCCTACTCCTAGGCATACAACCAATAGAAATATATCCCATGTTCACTTGACCTGTTCAAGGATGTTTGTGATAGCACTGCTTGTTATCATTGCAAACTTTGAAGCTAACCCAGATGCCTGCCAACTGTAGAATGGATAGGTAAATTGCAGTATGTGTACACAGTAGAGTTCTGTATATTAGTTCACAGCAACATCAAGTCTCAGAAACAGTGTTGAATGAGAGAAGGTGGACACAAAGCAGGGCATACTATATGATTCTGTTGACATAAAGCTTAATAACAGGCAAAATTAACCACTGGGGTTCAAGGATAGTGGTGACTTTTGGCAAAAATTGTGACTGAAGGGAGCATGAGAAAGACACCCGGGGGCCTGGTACTGTCACTTGGTCTAGGTATCAGTTACACAGATGTATTCACTTGGTACAAATTTCTTGATTTTTGTACACATGAGTTGGGTACTTGTCTATATAATACTTTTTTTTTTTTTTGTCAGACAGTCGCACTCTGTTACCCAGGCTAGAGTGCCCTGGCATCAGCCTAGCTGACAGCAACTTCAAAGTCCTGGGCTCAAGTGATCCTCCTGCCTCAGCCTCCCTAGTAGCTAGGATTACAGGTGCTCGCCACCACACTGGGCTAATTTTTTGTTTCTATTTTTAGTTGCTCAGCTAATTTTTTCTATTTTTAGTAGAGACGGGGTCTTGTTCTTGCTCAGGCTGGTCTCGAACTACTGATCTTAAGCGATCCTCTTGCGTTGGCCTCCCAGAGTGCTAGGATTACAGGTGTGAGCCACCTGGCCTGGCTGGTACTTGTCTATATAATACTTCAATAAAAAGTTTAAAAATAGGCTGGGCGCAGTGACTCATGCCTATATTCCCAGCACTTTGGGAGGAGGCAGAGGTTGGGAGGATCACTTCAGTCCGGGAGTTCGACACCAGCTTGGGCAATACGTACCTACAAAAAAAAAAAAAAGGTTAATAAGATAATCAAGGCTTAAGAAAGCATATTCATAACAATCCAAAGGTAAATTCTGGGTAATCCCAATGTGGAAGACAGGTGAGGGGACGGGCGGTAATAAAGAGCAGAGAAACATGAGAATGTCCTGAACTGCTTCTCTCGTGGGACAGGAAAGGTAAATACAAGTTTAATTTATTGGGGAAAATAAAAATAGCTAAAGCTCCTAATAAATTAATGAAACAACTAGTAGAAATATAAAACTAGAATTTATAACTTTGAAACACGTGGTTTCAGTTGAGAAAGGTTTGCTGGCAGGTAACAAAGACCTAAAAATTAGTGTGTTAAACAAAATGGAGACTTACATCTTTCTAAAACAATTTCTGAGGTAGGCAGTTAGTGCCAGCTACATTGCATTATTCGAAACCTAGCTCCTTTGTCCTATTGTTCTATTGTGTGTGGCTTCTACTTCTAAGGTGGCCACCTTCTGGTCCAGGGTGACTTCTAGAGCTGCAGTAATTAGACTTGCATTCCAGTAGCTGGGAGAGGGAAGAGGGAAGGAGGGCATACCCCTTCCTTTTAAAGACATTTCTCAGAAATTATATATCAAACCTCCCTTTTCATCTCTGGCCAATCATATGACGATACCTGGCTTCCAGGGAGGCTGGGAAATGCCTTTTAGTAAGACTGCATGGTGTCCAGCCAAGAGTTGGGATTTTTAAACTAAAAAAGAAGGGAAGAATTGCTATCAGGAGACAACTAGCAGACAATCTGCAATAGGAAATTTAATGGAAGGCAAGAAAGAAGGGGGAAAAAAAAAACTACTAAAAAGTACAGTAATTAGAAAACTTGAAATAAGGAGACTGAATTAAGTTCAATTAAGTCTAATAACAATATTAGAATCACAGTAGGTAGGTGACTCACTGACCAAAAGACAAACTTGGCCAGGTGTGGTGGCTCATGCTTATAATCCCAGCACTTTGGGAGGCTGAGGCAGGAGGATCGCTTTCTTTCGACCAGAAATGTTGTCTCTTAAAAATTGACAGGTCTTGGATATGTGTAATGGTTTGTATGGATTTTTGCCCTTTTAAGCTCAAGGCAATAGAATAAATCACCAGTGAATATAGTTACTGAAAAGGAGAGTATCAGGCTATATATCTTGATTTTCTGTACCTCAAACTTTGAACTGTCCTGTAATACCTGTCTTTAGTCCCAAGATGACTGAGTATGCCATTGCATATCAGCATACTTTCCTGCCTTCATAGGAGGCTGGGAAATGACGTTAGACATCACATTGACAGGCCTGAAATGCATGCTTAAGTTTCCTGTGTGGTGGAAGAGAATGGCCTAGACTCTGATGAGTCTCACTTAATGCAGTTGCCTGAGTTCTTGGACTCCTTTGCAGTGTGAGGATGAGGCTGTGTGAAGCAAATTCTCTTCAGGATTACAGATGGTGCATTTCCCCATGGGAAGGTGAGAGGTGGGGGAGTCCTCTTTCCCTCTCCCTCACTGTGACCTCAGTGTGGAGGAGAACTTGGTCCCTGACGCCCACTTAGGTCCCTGGATAATTTCTTGATGTCTGCCCACTGCTGGTGTGGGTATAGGATCATACCTTATCTTTGCTGCCATGTTTCACTTTCTTCTCACAGGGAAGCCTGATTGAGATCAGATCCCACGAAGCTGGGTACTGTGCTGGGACAGCACATCTTCTCCATCATTTTTTGTATTCTAAAAATAACCCAGTATTCTAGAAGGAAAGTCACAGTTCCACATATTCGAAACAATGCAGAAGGATTCACTTTCTTCTGTATGTTCTTTCTTTTCTTTCTTCTCTTTCTTTCTTTCTTTCTTTCTTTTCTTTCTTTTCTTTTCTTTTCTTTTCTTTGACAGAGTCTCACTCTGTTGCCCGGGCTAGAGTGCCGTGGCGTCAGCCTAGCTCACAGCAACCTCAAACTCCTGGGCTCAAGCGATCCTCCTGCCTCCCGAGTAGCTGGGACTACAGGCATGCGCCACCATGCCCAGCTAATTTTTTCTTTATATTTTAAGTTGTCCAGGTGATTTCTTTCTATTTTTTTAGTAGAGACGGGGTCTCGCTCTTGCTTAGGCTGGTCTCAAACTCCTGAGCTCAAACGATCCTCCCGCCTTGGCCTCCCAGAGTGCTAGGATTATAGGCGAGAGCCACCACGCCAGGCCTTCTATATGTTCTTACGTAGATTCTAGTACATTGATTAAATTAATAGCAATTTAAGATTTGGAGCAATTAGGCCTTTAATTAATTAATTAATCAGAAAGTAGGAATGAATCTAAAATAAGAGTCTGTGAAAAATATTGAAATGTGAGTTTGAAACAGAGAGGTTACTCACATTTGGCAAATTTGAAGAAACAAAAGTAATTCCCTGGGCCGGGCGCGGTGGCTCATGCCTGTAATCCTAGCACTCTGGGAGGCCGAGGCGGGCAGATTGTTTGAGCTCAGGAGTTCGAGCCCAGCCTAAGCAAGAGCGAGACCCCGTCTCTACCAAAAATAGAAAGAAATTAACTGGACAGCTAAAAATATATATAAAAAAAAAAAATTAGCCGGGCATGGTGGCACATGTCTGTAGTCCCAGCTACTTGGGAGGCTGAGGCAGTAGGATTGCTTGAGCCCAGGAGTCTGAGGTTGCTGTGAGCTAGGCTGAAGCCACGACACTCACTCTAGCCAGGACAACAAAGTGAGACTCTGTCTCAAAAAAAAAAAAAAGTAATTCCCCTTGAATGGCATAATGAAACCAAATTACCATTTTTCTGTTCTAGTGTCTTTATAGCCAACTATTTAATTTGTGTCAAGCATTTTTCAAGAAAGCCATCTCTTATTGCCATTTTTCCTATGCCATTCACTGGAAACTCTTAAAATTCAGGGAAGCTTATGATTTGTAAATCAAACCAGGATGCCCTTAAGATCAACCTGGTGGTTTATCACACTAGAGAGTCAGTATAGGCCGGGCGTGGTGGCTCACACCTGTAATCCTAGCTCTCTGGGAGGCCGAGGCGGGCGGATTGTTTGAGCTCAGGAGTTCGAAACAAGCCTGAGCAAGAGCGAGACCCCGTCTCTACTAAAAATAGAAAGAAATTAATCAGACAACTGAAAATATATACAAAAAATTAGCCGGGCATGGTGGCACATGCCTGTAGTGCCAGCTACTTGGGAGGCTGAGGCAGGAGGATTGCTTGAGCCCAGGAGTGTGAGGTTGCTGTGAGCTAGGCTGACGTCATGGCACTCACTCTAGCCCGGGCAAAAGAGTGAGACTCTGTCTCAAAAAAAAAAAAAAAAAGAGTCAGTATATGACCATGTGGACTAATGAGACAGGAAGACCAATTAGTTTCTTTACTCTTTCTTAAATAAAAATTTATCTTGAAATAGCATGAAAACAGGTTTTTTGCAATTTATTTTAAGTAACTGAATATGGAGAATGTTTATTTCTTGAGAAGAGACCTAAGGCATTAAATAGGGCTTGCTCTTTGCAAAAAGTCAGTGGCATTGTTTTTGCTTCTCTCTCTCAGATCAAGCACTGTGCCTAGCAGAAATTTTACTACCTCTCCAAAATCATCAGCAAGTCCCTATTCCTCAGTGTCTGCCTCTCCCATTGCAAATGGTGGTAGCACTAACACCTCTGGGATGCACAGTTCCGGTGTCAGCAGGGGGTAAGAGCAGGCCTTTCACTTTGCTTCCCTTCCCTGTGAGTCCTTTCCCAGGATATACCTGGAGAGCTCATTTGCTGCTACACTAAGCATAGTGGAGTAGAGTTCCCCACAGGAACGTGCTGCATGTGGTTTCTCGCTCCATTTCATACCCATGGGAAAGTGTGCTTCCTGTTTCTGACCTGCGCTGCTTGTCTTCCTGTGAGCTGATATTTTCCCCACAGCTTAACTCACTGGTGGTCTTGGGTCGGGGGGTGTCACTGCATTTGTTTGTGAAGGGATGGGCTGGCCATATGACAGAATAACTGTGAGGGGACAGTTCTCAGCTGTAGATGGCCATGATCATTTCTCCATGTGTTTCAGGAGCACCTGCCACATGGCATAGACAAGGTGGAAGAAGAAATTGAGGCAAGAGTGTGCGTGACCACTCAGGCCCAGTCAAGGCTGGGTGTGGCCTGGTGGGCAGTGGCAGATATAAGCTCTTGATCTCAGTAACTAAAATGTTCTTCCCTAAAGTCACCTGGCAGTCTTCTGGAGGGATACAAAATTAGCATTTGGCAAAGCCTAAGAGAGGAAAATTCAAATAGCATTTCTTTCCTTAAGGGTGTTGCTTACCAGCTGTTAGCACGTCAAGTCAATGGTGGGGGCAGGTATGGAGGGCTGGAGAGGGGAGTAGAGAGAACTTGCATCATGGGGTTACTACCAGACATGAGTTCTGGAAGCCCCAGAAGAACCCCAGAAGGCATCCTGAGGACATGTGTGTAGCAGTTGCTTTTATTGTTGATGTGGGTTGTGTTTTCCAGTGGATCTGGCTTCTCTGCTTCGTATAATTGTCAGGAGCCCCCATCGTCTCATATACAGCCTGGACTCTGCGGACTTGGAAACTTGGGGAACACCTGTTTCATGAACTCTGCTTTGCAGGTACAGGGGAAAGTGCCATCCAAATAGCACTGTCTTGAGACTTGGGTGGGAGAGGCCTGCAAAGGTGCTGGGTGGATCCTCTCCCAGGAGTCTCCCACCTGCCCCCTCTATTCCTTCTGTTTTTTCTTTCTTTTTTTTAGCACCCTTAGTCTGTTCAGTTTCTACTCCTTGTTAGTGTGTCAGTGATCTCTTGGCTGGTACAGAATAGCTTCAGTGTTTGTGGCCCCAAAATGTCTTCTAAATCAGTTTTATGTTTGGTTTTACAGTAAAAGCATTGTGAATTTTGTTTACAATTGGGGTATGATCTACATAGAAAGTACTGAAGTACTTGCCTGGATGGTCCCTGATGGGATGAGAAGAACTAAAGAGTAGCTGATGCCAAGTTAAATTATGTCTAGCTGAAAGCTGACTACCTTTCCACCAAAAATATTTGTCTTACCCCATGCCCCTTACTGAAGAAAATCCTAAAATCCTCCCTTTGAAATCTTATTTATTCATTCATCAAATATCAAACATTATTCATTCATCAGATATATTGTGTGACAGCACTGTGATGGACATGGGCTACAAGCAGTTAGAGTCCAGCTTCAAAATTAGGAAGGCACAATTCTCAAGACTGCTCTCACTTCCGAAACCAGCTACAAGTTTGAAGGTTCCCAAGACCACCCTCAGTTTTGATAATTTGCTAGAAGGGCCCAAAGAACTCACTGAAAGCTATTATACTGATGATGATGGTTTATTGTAGGGAAAGGATGCAGATTAAAGTCAGCCAAGGGAAGAAGCAAATAGGGCAGAATCTAGGAGGGTTCCAGTTCATTCATTTGATGAATGAATAAACAAAAATTCAAGCTTCTATTGTTCTCTACTTGTGGAGTCAGAACTTATTACTTTCCTGGCATTGAGATGTAATGATATGCATGGAGTGCTTACAGCCATGGAACCTCACTCAAGCTTTGATGTCCAGAATTTTATTGGGACCTCGTTACATAAGTATGATTGATTGATTGCGCAGGTGGACTGACCCCATGTGACCCAACGTCCCTGCTCTAAGTCATATTATTGGTCTTTCTGGAATGGCTAGCCCTCACCCTAAGAGTATACAGGTGTGTCAGCCTCCCCACCACCTCCAAAATTATATTATTATTTTATCCAGTATGACCTAAGGCCTACCAGGCAAACAAAGACACTCCTATCCGGCATAACATTCTAAAGGTCAGTAGATTACTTCCCAGAAGCCAAGAGCAAAAGCTAGACCTTTTCTTTGGCCAAGACAAAATTCTTTACTACACATGGTGACTAAGTGGTGAGCAATCAGACATGCTTTGTCCTCACAAGACTTACAGTCTAACTTTGAATTTTCTTAGAGTATGAGAGAAAAGATAAAAGATTTGTTAAAAGATTAGTTAATGCTTTGGTTTGGAAATAATTTTTCTTTACTGGTGGTGAGGTGGGAATAGCCTAGTACTGAATAAAAGAGACCTGAGGTTTGACTTTTCATGGACAAGTTTTCTCAACTCTTTGGGCCCTCAATTTTCCTCATCTGTTGAGTGAGGATAATAATAATGAGGAGTTCATAGCTCTAGATGTAAATATTCAGGGGAAAAAGGTTAAAATTCGATGATTTATCTGTCTCATGATGCTAGGAAAAGAACAAATGAAACCCAAAGGAAGCAGAAGGAAGGAACTACTAGAGATAGGAACAGAAATGAGTGAAATAGAAGATTTTACAGTTCAGCCAAATACGATCCTCTGAAAAAACTGGTAAAACTGATAAGCCCCTAGGAAGAATAATCAGGAAGAAAAGAGAGAAAATACCAATGACTAATGCCAGGGATGAGTAAAGGAGTATCACTATAAATCCTATAGACATTAAAAAGGTTACTAGAGGATAGTAAAACTCTTTGTATGCTTTTTGACAATTTAGATGAGATAGATGAGTTTTCTTGAAAAGCACAATTTATCCAACTCACACAGGAAGAAATAGAAAATCCGACTAGTGCCGAGTTTGTTAAAGAAATTAAGAAATTAAAAGCCTTACAGCAAAGAATATTCTTGTTCTGGATGGCATTACTAGTGAATGTGCTCAGAGATCTAAGGGAGAAATGATACTAATCATATCCAAACTCCCATGGAGAAGAAAGAGAGACAGCTCCTCAAATCATTTTTCAAGGCAACATACTCTGATACCAAAATCTGATAAGGAGTTTTAAAAAAAGAAAGAAAAAAAAAATGACTGTCTTCCTTTGCTCCTTCTCCACTCCCACTGCTTCACTTGAACAGAAAAAAAAAAAGAAGACTGTCATATCTCATGACCATAGATACACATAACCTGAATAAAATATTAGCAAATCAAATTCAGTGATAAAGTGATAACATATAACCAAATGAAGGTTGTGCCAAGAGAGTTAGATTGGTTTAACACCTGAAAAATTAGTCAGTGTCATTTAACGTAGTAACAGAATAAAGGAGAAAACTATCTGATTATCTCAATAGAAATGCAGAAAAAGCATTTGATAAGATGCAGTGCCCAAATTCATTTTTGAATTTGAAGGGTTAAAATTAGTATACACTTGTTTAATGGTATTATTTATTGGCCTCTGTACTATCTAATTATTATTATTATTACTAATTATTTACTATTACTATTTACTGTCTATTATTTATTGGCTTCTGTACTATCTAATTATTTCTCCTCCCCTCCCCAATGTTTTTGCTCTATAGCAAGACATTTGCCTTCAACTTATTTATATTTTGTCTTCTCATGAAACATTGGAATTTCCCAGTCCCTTCCATTAAGAAAAAATTATCTTAAAAATTATTACCTTCCATTGAATAAAAAATTATTCAGCTTTTGCCCTCAGGTAGCAGAGACAAAGTCTTAGGCAGTGCACATGAGATCCTCTCAACATTTGTCCCTATGAGGTTCGCTGCAAGGGGTCCATCAGCTTGGTATCCTTGAATGCATGCCTTACTGTTGTTAGCCTTCAGAAAATCTGCTGAGTGCCTCATTTTGTTGGGGTTGACCCTCAGTGGCCCTTTAGAACTTGGTTTATCTTGTAAATCTGTGTGCTCCCTAGAAGGGGTGTATGCTCTGATCATGTTCTGTTTCAGTGCCTGAGCAACACCGCACCACTGACCGACTACTTTCTCAAAGATGAGTATGAAGCTGAAATCAACAGAGACAACCCTCTGGGGATGAAGGGGGAGATTGCAGAGGCCTACGCAGAGCTCATAAAGCAGATGTGGTCTGGAAGGGATGCTCACGTGGCACCTCGCATGTTCAAAGTAGGTTGAGATACATACAGGTTGAACATCCCTTATCTGAAATGCTTGGGACCAGAAGTGTTTTGGATTTCGGATTTTTTCAGATTTTGGTGTATTTGCATTATACTCACTGGTTCAGCATCACTAATCCAAAATATCCAAAATCCAAAGTGCTCCATTAATTATTTCCTTTGAGTGTGTCATCTCAGTGCTCAAAAAGTTTTGGATTTTGGAGCATTTTGGAGTTCAGATTTTCAGATTAGGGATACTCACCTGTACTTCCTTTTTCTTGTATGAGGAGAATGGTTTAGTATTATGATCAGGCATTCCTTTACTTGCATTTTGGGATTAAGATGGGGTCTGAGACTAAAAGCACCACATTGTCAAACCCTTTTTTTCTGTCATGCAGTCAATTTAGCACAAATATACACTTATCTTTTTCTTTGGTGGGGGGGGGACAGGGTCTCACTCTGTTGCCCGGGCTAGAGTGAGTGCCGTGGCATCAGCCTAGCTCACAGCAACCTCAAACTCCTGGGCTCAAGCGATCCTCTTGCGTCAACCTCCCGAGTAGCTGGGACTACAGGCATGCGCCACCATGCCTGGCTAATTTTTTCTATATATTTTTAGTTGTCCAGCTAATTTCTTTCTATTTTTTTAGTGGAGACGGAGTCTTGCTTTTGCTCAGACTGGTCTGGAACTCCTAAGTTCAACGATCCACCTGCTTCAGCCTTTCAGAGTGCTAGCATTACAGGGATGGGCCACTGCGCCCAGCCTACATTTATCTTTTTTTAAGCGCGCGCACACACACACCCACACACACACACACACACACACACACCCACTCCCCAGGGTTTCTTTGTGTCGCCCAGGCTGGAGTTCAGTGGCACTATCATAGCTTGGTACAGCCTCACGGGCCTAGGCTAAATTGATCTTCCCGCCTCAGCCTCCCGAGTAGCTGGGACTACAGGTATGCACACTATGCCTGGCTAATTTTTTTTTTTTTCTTTAGAGACAAGGTCTCACTATATTTATTTCCCAGGCTGGTCTTGAACTCCTGGCCTCTGGTGATATTCCCACCTCGGCCTCCCAAATTGCTGGTGTTGCAGGCGTGAGCTACGGCACCCGACCCATTGTTGTCTTAAATGTTCTCAGTGCCCACCTCTGGGCTGTAATGCCCCAGAAGTCATTTGTAAGCTTGTTAGTCAGAATGCTGTATTCTGTGGTGGCAGTATTTATATGGTCATTGTCCTAAGCTAGGCTATAAAAATTCAGTTTAGGCCGGGCTTGGTGGCTCACACCTATAATCCTAGCATTCTGGGAGGCCGAGTCAGGAGGATTGCTTGAACTCAGGAGTTTGAGACCAGCCTGAGCAAGCACGAGACCCTGTCTGTACTAAAAATAGAAATAATTAGCTGGATGTGGTGGCTCATGCCTGTAGTCCCAGCTACTCAGGAGGCTGAGGCAGGAGAATCACTTGAGCCCAGGAATTTGAGGTTGCAGTGAGCTGTGATGATACCACTGCACTCCACCTGAGGTGATAGAATGAGACTGTGTCTCAGGAAAAAAAAAAAAAAAGTCAGTTCAACTTTCAGTATCATCTGCCAGCTATTCCCAGATTTTCTGAGCCTGGATCACCTACATCCCTGTTGTTTGAGTTGGCCCCACTAAGTTAGGAACTGGGCTGACCATTCTTAGGAAGGTGATGTGAGGGGCAGTTCTCACTGGGGTTCTTCAGCCAGGAAGATTTGGGAGGTTATGGGTGGGTAAACTGCAGTGGGCACTTGGCGCAGCTTGGGCTTTCCATTCCCCTAAATGTTTTTTCCTGCCAAGGGGGAGGTGCTTTGCTTCCATATGCTGACATCTGAGAAATCCTGTTTAGCCTGCACCTCTGGGGTTTGAGGAGCCTCTATGAAGCATGTGATAAGAAAGATGTGTGTATTTGTGATTCAAAGAGGAGTCAAAGACTCCGAACCAGAGAAGAACATTGTGGAAGGATTCATGTCAGTATTTGGGTGTGGCTACTCAGGGTGCCACCCTTGCTCCCTAGTGGTTAGGGCGATGGCCCGGGTTCCAGGTCCTTTGTTTTCCTGGCTCTCTTGTGTGAGCCAGCCTTCTCCCTGGTGGGAACCACTGGCCTCCTGCAGGTTCTTCAGGAGTTAATCAGGCTCCTCTGCTAGGTGGTATTCTCTTTTACTGCCTTGCTGACTCTGCAAAGCTATATTTGATGGCAATTTCCTGTTTGATTTCACTGATTCCTTATATATTGTGCCTTCGGATGCTGTTGCTTTTGTTGTAGACTCAAGTGGGACGTTTTGCCCCTCAGTTTTCTGGCTACCAGCAACAAGATTCTCAGGAGCTGTTAGCCTTTCTTCTAGATGGATTGCATGAAGATCTGAACCGAGTAAAGAAGAAGCCCTACCTGGAGCTGAAGGATGCCAATGGGCGGCCAGATGTGGTATGATATTGAAGATGTCTGAACAATAATATTCCAAAGAAGCTGCCTCCTACTGATAGTATAGGAACATCTTTTTGGTTTTCGAGTATTGGTATTAGGGCCCTACTTGCCTCTCACTGTTGCTAGTGATGGGGCTGTAGTCTCTGGTAGGGAAACACATTCTAGGTCAGAAAGGGCCTAACTCTTATAACTCCTGATGCTCCCTCTTGAGCTTTTTCAAATTAGAGTGAGATTGTTTAGTATTTCATTGGTGAACTAGAGATTAGGGTGCTCTGAAAATTAAAGTGCCTATAGTCTGGGCCTTTAGGATTATTACTACTCTCATTAAAATCCATCCATGATTATTAAAACAATTTGTTACTAATATTTTTAGGGCATTTATACTTTTTTGCCTTGATTTTCTGATCTATGAAAGAGGAATTTAGTATTTCAGCTATTCTATCACATTGGGATGATCGATATGAATGCTTTAAAGTAGCATTTAGATCTTAATGGAAATACCATGATTTAGCTGAACTTTAGTGTAGGTTAAAGCCTTGCTTTGGATCATTAGAAACACCATGGGAAGATTTACTTGCCCTGGTCAGGTCTGTGTGCCTACAGTGCTCTCAGGGCTTCTGTTTTCCATCAGAGGACACACAGACCTGTTATTTCCTATAGATCCCATGTTGACACTGAATTTAAAAGTGTGGGGTTGGGTGCAGAAGTGGCATGTAGTGTGAGTATGATAGGCTGAGTTCTGGCCTTCACTGGCCTGGACCAAGCTCTTGGCTATGCAGACTACCTCCTGGTCTATTTCAGGGTTTGTTGGGAATCATCCTGTATGCAGGGGGAAAGGACTGAGAGATGTTGAGAATGTACTGTCTATCCCTTCTCCTTCCAGGTGGTGGCAAAGGAAGCCTGGGAGAATCACAGGTTGAGAAATGATTCTGTGATTGTGGACACTTTTCACGGCCTCTTCAAATCTACTTTGGTTTGCCCAGAATGTGCTAAGGTTTCTGTGACGTTTGACCCATTTTGCTATCTTACTCTCCCACTGCCCTTGAAGAAAGATCGAGTTATGGAGGTCTTCCTGGTTCCTGCTGACCCTCACTGCAGACCTACCCAGGTAACAATGCACACCTCGTGGCACCCCTCACTGTGAGTAGTCACCTCTCACTGTGGGTAGTCTCCAGACCCTGATGGGATTACTGCTATCTGCTGCATTAGAAACTCCATCGGCTGCCTCTGGGTCCCCTTGGTGCTTGCCTGAATGGGTGCCCTTGCCCTCTATCACACCTTTGTGTAATCTCGTATCATTCAAGGCCTATTGTGAAGGTCTCTGGGCTTTTGATCACTTTTTTTCCCATGCTCCATTCACACAAGTAAAGTAACCTGGTTGACCTGTTAAGTGGTCCTTGAATCTGAATGTTGGAGAACCAGAAGCAGGGTGCTTTTCTTAGTCAGGTCCACCCTTAAACCAGATAGGAGAGGTGAGGTGCTGTGGCTCATGCCTGTAATCCCAGTGCTTTGGGAGGCCGAGGGGGGAGGATCGCTTGAGCCCAGAAGTTCGAGATTACAGTGAGCTGTGATCACACTACTGCATGCCAGCCTGGGCAACAGATTGAGACTCTGTCTCTTAAATAAAATCAGCTAGAAGAGCCTGAGCATAAGAGGTCAGATGGCATGTGTGAACAGTAGGTCTTAGTGTCCAGCCCTGCTGATGGCTCACTGTGCGATTGTATTGCTTAGTCTTCTGACTTTAGTCTCTTTATCTGATATGTAAGACCAAATGGCAGTTTGTATAATTTTAACAATTCTTTAAAGGAAGTAGCAAACTACTCCAAAAAGTTAAGAGTAAAATGTAGCAATGTTAGGGAGGGAAGGAGATGGTCCACTCTCAAGCCTGAGTATTGAGGCAGGTGCTAACACAGAAGACTTGCTTGTTTGCTCTGCTGCTGACTCACCTGGGCCTTGACCTCACCATATACTGTTTTGGAAGGGCACCTCTGCCCCTGGAGACGCCTGCTCCTCCCAGCCCATCTCCCACCCTTTCACCTAAGGCTCCCTGTCACCTTAACCATCTCTCCCTTGCAGTACCGCGTGACTGTGCCGCTGATGGGGGCTGTGTCTGACCTGTGTGAGGCTCTCTCCAGGCTGTCTGGCATTGCTGCAGAAAACGTAAGGCAGGGTGATCAGTGTAACTCACTATTAGGGATACTGTCTAGTCCTTTCAGCCTTGAAGCCACTTTTTGGGGTAGTTGTTATTGGCCAGCACAAATGTGATTATTTGTTGTGTCTGGATGCCTCATAGCTCTTGGCTGTTGTTCACTGTGCACACTGTGGTCAAGACTGTCCTTTCCAGCTCCAGAAAACACTGTCTTTCTTCCATCGTGTTTATAGTAGCCATGGTCAGAGGGCCAGGAGTAGGGCTCTGCTCTCAGCACTGTGTGCTGAGGGTGGTGTGGAGCCGTTGGGCCCTGGAATACCCCACTGGCTTCTGGACAACTACTAGTCCCTGGTCAGCACTCCTCACCCTTCTTGCCACTCGAGGGCAGGTGTTACTAGCATGTTCAGTTCTGGTGGCAGCCGTGCTGCTCTCCTTGGGCCTTGGCCCCAAGCTCTGGGGCTGGTTGTGTGGGGGTTTCTCTAGAGGCCACACTCCAGTAGGGTATTTTTTCTTTCCATTTGTTTCTGGGTTTTAAGCAGTTAGTAAGGGCACTCTTACCCATCCTATGATCTTTCTGTTACTGTTGATTCTTAGATGGTGGTCACAGATGTGTATAATCACCGGTTCCACAAAATTTTCCAAATGGATGAAGGTTTAAACCACATCATGCCTCGGGATGACATTTTCGTGTGAGTACTCAGCAGTTTCTGCTGCAGGTTCTGCAGAAACATTTAGGGATGTTGCCTTGTTCAAGTCTCCAGAGCAGAAATGCTGGCAGTCAGTGCTTCTGTGGAATTGCCTGCCTGGGTGCAAGAGATGGGTGTACAGGGAATTGTGGACAGCTTTCAGTGCTGAGCACCTACTGGCTCTGCAGAGCTAGACATTCTGATAACTCTCCTCAGCACGGACACCACCTTTGTCACAGTTTGCCTATGAAGAAGGCCCATTCAGTGGTCCTTCAGATGGTCCTGCTATTAGAGATGCCTTTCTCAAGAAGAGTCATAGCTGCGTGAGGGTCATGGGAAGGTAGGAGAAGGGGCGTGGTGCAGGAAGATCTCATCCGTTCTCTGCCACAGGCTATGGCTCCTCAGATAAGTGCCATGATACCACCAGCTCCAGCTCAGAAATGACAGTGAAGGCTGATTTAAATAGCCATTTTCAGCTCAAACATTCTGCAAGCTCTGAGAATCATTTTTTTCCATCTCTGTGGGTACAGCACAGAGGTCTTCTTGGCCTCTCCCACATGCTGCTTCATGGCTGGTCTGTGTCATTGTATGTGTCCCTCTCCCAGGTGGAGTCTGGTGGGACATAAACTTGCCTGCAGCTCCCAGACAGCCACTTGCTCAGGAAATACCGAGCCCTCCCATGCTGTTCCTCCCTCTTTACCTCTCACTCAGAAACATGCCTCTGCTGAGAAAGGTTTTTAGGATTTTGTTTTGGCTTTTACTTTTGGATAAGGAATGTACTTCACAAAGGAGATATCTCCTTCCCTTTACGTTTTAGGTCCTATGACTTCTAGATCACTCTAAAAGGAATGGTTTCTGGCCATGCCCAAGATCTACTTCTGTTCACACTTGCACAGAGACCCTGACAGCTCACACTTCAATGAAGGCTAGGACATGGAAAAGTCAGCTTTTATAGCCATTCCTTTTTTTTATTTTTTGAGACAGAATCTCACTCTGTCACCCTGGCTGGAGTGCAGTGGTGAGATCATAGGTCACTGCAGCCTTGAAATCCTGGCCTTAAGCAATTCTGCCTTAGCCTCCTAAGTAGCTGGGACTACAGGCATGTGGCACCACACTCTGCTAATTCATAGCCATTTATAATCCCAAATTATGCCTTAACATGGTCTCCTTCAATTCTGTAAACTAGTGTTTGTTTGCACACACCTGGGCTGAATGGAACTGGGGCATCACTCTGTGGGGAACTTCGTAGACCACCACCAACAAAGGAATTTTAAGAGGCTTTAAGGGCCAACCAATGGGAAAACAGATTCTTTTTTGATTTTTGTTTTTTTTTAAGAGACAGGGTCTTCAATCTGTTGCCCAGATTGAAGTACAATGGCATGATCATGGCTCACTGCAGCCTCAAACTCCTGGCCTCAAGTGATCCTCCTGCCTTGATTTCACAAAGTACTGGGATTATAGGCATGAGCCACAATTTTTTTTTTTTTTTTTTTTTTGAGACAGTGTCTTGCTCTGTCACCCTGAGTAGAGTGGCCTCATCATAGCTCACAGCAACCTCCAATGCCTGGGCTCAAGCAATCCTCTTTCCTCAGCCTTCCCAGTAGCTGGGACTATAGGTGCACGCCACCACGCCAGGGTAATTTTTTTATTTTTTGTACAGACGGGGTCTTGTTCTTGCTCAGGCTGGTCTTGAACTCCTGAGCTCAAGCAATCCTCCTGTCTCGGCCTCCCGGAGTGCTAGAATTACAGACATGAGCCACTGCACCGGGCCCCCACAAATTCTTTTAAACATGAGTTGATAATTGTCTTATGAAAGCAACAGTAGCATTTGTTAATAACATTTTTTGAGCATGTCGTTGCACTGTGCTACTAAGTTATGTAATTCTCACCATACCCTGTAAGGTGGGTAATCCCACTGTCCTGAGTAAACAGAAGCAGGAGTTAGGGTGCTTATACTGGATCTCAGAAGCCAGAAAATGGCAACGGTGGACCTGGAATCTGGGCCAGTCTCACTGTAAGGTCTGGTTCTTAACCATCATGCTGCACTACAGTGTCCTTATCTTAGAGCACACCTTGGACATTTTTGTGAGTTATTCTTAGAAATTCTTTCTGCATAAACCGTAGTCAGGACTATTTGCCAGGCATTTGGGGAGGAGTGTGTGTGCGTTTGTGTGTGTGTTTATAGTTTCAAAAATTGAATCAGTAAGTTTGTGTCTCCCCCTATAGGAAGAGGGAATGACTACAGTCGGTTGCCAGCAATTTTGGTAACACCTGTTCCAGGATAAAACATCTATAAATCTCCTCAATCCCATGTATTCACTAAGTAAGACACATTTTTCAAAATCATTGATTTGTATTTAGCAGTTTCTTTGGTTATCTCTGATTTTTTAAAAATTAGATATGATTCTTTTACTTCAGTGTTTTTGAACAAACATGGCAATTAGTTTTATAAATTTGCTTCCTTGTTTAAAAAAAAGTATCTTTGGCTAATATTCCAGGTATACATCCTTTTACAATATTTGGTTTTATTAAAGACAGGACACTGAGAATGCATTTTTGAATGTTGAGCTCCTTGGTGACAAGAGATGAACTTGGTTGTCGGGGGCCCCCATCTGCCTTTCTGTCCAGAGGAGTGATGGTCTGGATGATGGCCATCATCTGTGTTGAGTCCCAGTTGAAGGACCACAGAGTTTGAGACTTTGGTTGGGGAAGGAGCCTTATGGTTAGCCCTGAGGCTCGGTTTGTGTAGGTTCGTGTTGTGCTAATAATCCTCCTTGTGATTCCTGACTCAGCCTCTAAAATCATGGTAGAAATTGGTTTATCCACCTTTTCTACTAAAGTATGCTCTGTCCCAGTAACCATAGTCTTGGCCACCATGTAACTGCAGCTCAGATCCCCATTGCTAACAGGAACCTGCTGCTAAAGGTGCCCTTTTGTGTGATTGACACAGGTACGAGGTCTGCAGTATTTCCATGGATGGCTCAGAATGTGTCACACTTCCAGTCTACTTCAGGGAGAGGAAGTCGAGGGCATCGAGCACTTCCTCCGGGGCAGTGCTGTATGGGCAGCCACTGCTGGTTTCTGTCCCCAAGCACAAGCTAACCGTCGAGTCTTTGTACCAGACTGTTTGCGAGCGTATCAGGTTGGTGTCAAGAATGGCATTTGGTTGTTACCTGAGTTCAAGATAGGCCCAGTAATAGTAGTCACAACCCTTGCAGAGTGGCCATATTGATCCCATGTACTCATCTCTGGAAGAAATGCAATTGTGCCACCTCCCCTGGAAGGGCTGGAGTGGGATGGGGCGTATGGCACATCTTAGGCATCATGACCCTGGGCGCTCAAGCCTCTGGTCCTTGGAATCATGTCAGTCCCCTATGTTAGGGAAGCTAGTGCTTTGATGGCATTTTGTATTTAAATAGTATTTCTGAAGTGCTTCACTATTGTTTTGTAACTGTTAATTGTGATTACTGGGAAATATTTTTTAAAATGATGATGCCACGTGACATTCATGGAAGACTTGAAACAGACTTTCAGAGTCTTCATTGGCTTGATAGATTAGACATCTGATCCGTTGGGTTCTTCTACATTTCTTTAATTATTGAGCCAGTATATGATTTTAAAGCTCTTTTATTTACATAAATTGCTTTGTGAATATCTGAATATATAAATTATGAACTATTCTTAGCTGCATGGTGGAGAAAATAGGTAAATGTTACAACTAACAATTTTTTTTTCCTTTCTCTCTTTCTTATTTTTAAGCCGCTATATAAAACAGCCCTTGCCTGATGAGTCTGGTAGCTCACCCTTGGAGCCAGGGGCCTGCAATGGCTCCAGGGGTAGCTGCGAAGGTGAGCACGCCATGCTGTGGGGCTGTGGGGCTGTGGGGCTGTGACTGACCAGGTCCCTCCTGATTTCCGTCTTCTTCTGAAGGTGTTATACACGTGGGAGAGGGAGACTCTGAGGCTGGATGGGGGCTCTGCCTACAGCAGCAGAGTTAGGAGCCAGGTCTGCATCACTCTGCTCTGCCAGTCTCCATTGTCCAACTTTGTACCTCATGGAATCTTCTTAGATACCTGGCGATGTAGGCTGTGTTTCACCTCAGGCACATAGAGGGATTGAGTCACTTGCCCAAGTCATGAAGCAGAGTCCAAAATTTGAATTCCGATCTGTTGGAATTGCAAAGTAGGTGCTTACCTAGCCTGTGACTGCCTCCATGATCTGAGCTCTGTGGGTAGAGCTATTGTTATCTTGGCCTTTACACACCACCTTGGTGTGGAGCTGCCAAGCCTGGCTGGTGAGCTTTCAGTCCCTGAGGGTTACAGATGTCTTGGCCAGCCAATCAGAGGGCACTTCTCCTTCCCTCCTTCCCTCCCTCCCTCCCTCCCTCCCTTCCTCCCTCCCTTCCTCTCTCCCTCCCTCCCTTCCTCTCTCCCTCCTACCCACCCACAAGTGGTGGCTGACTCTAGAAGGGAAGTATGGAAGTCATAGCCTGAAAAGCAGTAGTCTTGGCTTATTGCAGGAAACCTAGAGCCCTCACTATCCTCTTGTGGCCAGGTGCTGACAAGTTCGTCCCTAACCAGGGAGCCATGTGTGATCTGCATTGTGGTTGTCACTCTTCTTTTTGGGACTTAGGTGACTCAGTGGCTTTATTCCTATAAAATCAGAAATGTCCTCCAAGCTAATGCATAAATTTTCAGTTGTAAGTCCAAATTCCCAGATTTCTTCAGGATACCCAATCCTGGAAAGTGAGAACTGGCTTTAAAAATAATGACCACAAGGTTCCATATTCCAAATCATTTTTGGTATTTTAAGGTTGGGTGGGTTTTATTATATTCAGATTTTTATTCTTGCCAAGAATGCTGTGTTCTCACACTAGGGATGAAAAGGAGTATATTTCGTGCATAGTTCCTGTAAGCAAAGGTGTCAGAGTGGTATTGGTAGTCTCTGAGCAGAGCCTGTGTGACCTGTGGTGCTCTGGAAGCTAAGGCACTGTAATCCCCAGTTCAAGGTGTGCGGTGGACTTGAACAAATCACTTCCTCCCTCTGAAGGTTGGTTTACCCGTCTGCAAAGTGATACCTGTTTCACAGAGTCTAGATAACAATTTAATGAGATCATGTAGTTAAAGTACCTGGCACATAATAGGTGCTCCATCAGTAACAACACCTTGTGAGTATTTGCTGTTATAGCTGGCCCTGCTTCTCAGACATTTCATCTGTCAATTTCTGTTCAGGAAGAATGGTTGTCATCTTTTGAATCCTACAAGCGAGTCTTGGTGCATAGACTTCAGACCCTGTTTAACCACTAAGTACTTGTAGCCTCTGCTGCCATGGCTACTTGTTAGGTCTGTTGCTACTGGCCTTCAGGTTCACTGCTGATTCTCTGAGTGACTTTGGGTAGCTCCTTTCAGTGAACCTTGCCTTTTTTTTTTTAAATCATCCTGTAACACTGTAACATACACTTCATGGCATTTAGTTGTGACTGCATTGGCAGAATGTTCCTGAGGTTGTGCAGCTAACTGGCAGCCAGTGGTGTGCCCAGGGACTGAATTCTTACAGTGTCAGGGTGTTTCCCTGAGTGGAGTTGAGGCAGTTTTTGATTCTGTACCTCTCTGAGAGGCAACAGGCAGGACAGGGTTCTTGCCAGTGTAGAAGTGGGACAGGCTTACCTGTGCATAAAGGAGCAATGCCATTGCCTTAGGAGTTAAGTTGGGAAAGGAACCTCCATGAGAGATGGGGTTTACAGGGTTCTTAAATAGCACATCTTCCTTTCCTCAATGTCTGTTTTTACTGATATTTCCTCAAGTATATAAACTTTTTATTTTAAATCTGCTCTGTCCCTGTTACATTTATGTTACCTTTTGGAGTGGTCCCCATCTTTGCTGAAATACTTTATCTGATACTTTAACTTTCCCCTACACTATGAGCTCTCCTCATGGAGCCCTGAGACCCAGCATGGTATCTATACCTAAGAGACATTCAGTAAATACTAGTTAAAGGAATATTCAGCATGTTTTTTTCTGGAGGAACTGAATACTTTTACTGAATATTTATGTTCATTATAATATTTCAAAATTGACTTTTAGATTACATTTCTTACCAAACTGTCTTCTGGAATGTTGAATATGTGCCTCATTTTAGTCCTTTTCTCTCTGTGACCTAATGATGAAGTCAAAAGAGTAAGACCGTGTTGTGTGAAGTCCAGTAAACTACCAAGTGGTGAGGGGCCCCAATTGAAGACTGGCGGAATAGTTGAGTCACTCTGTGCCTTTGGCTGACTCATTTAAGCTCTCTGAGCCTGCACTTCCTCATCAAGGAATAGCAGTGCCCACTCTGCCTCTTTCAAGGGTGTGGTGAGGGTCACACATGAATTCAAGTGCCTTGTAAATGCAAGGGGTGGATTTAGTTTCACATACACAGAATCTGGAAGGAAACATCACAGTCAGGTTTTTTTTTTTTTTTTTTTTTTTTTTTTTTTGGTTTGTTTGTTTTTTGAGACAGTCTCACTCTATTGCCCCGGCTAGTGGTGTCATCATAGCTCACCGCAACCTCCAACTCCTGGGCTCAAGCGATCCTCCTGCCTCAGCCTCCCAAGCAGCTGGGATTACAAGCACATGCCACCATGCCTGGCTCACTTTTTCTATTTTTAGTAGAGATGGAGTCTCTCTCTTTGTTAGGCTGGTCTCGAACTCCTGAGCTCAAGCGATCTTCCTGCCTCAGCCTTCCAGAGTGCTAGAATTACAGACGTGAGCCCCCACATCCAGCTCACCATTAGGTATTAAATAAAATTTTTAACACTGAAGTGGTGGCACATTATATACGTACTGTTTTTCATTTGTATGCCAGGAGAAGATGAGGAAGAAATGGAGCATCAGGAAGAAGGTAAAGAGCAGCTTTCAGAAACAGAAGGCAGTGGGGAAGATGAGCCAGGAAGTGACCCCAGTGAGACCACCCAAAAAAAGGTCAAAGGCCAGCCCTGCCCAAAAAGGCTTTTTACCTTCAGTCTTGTGAACTCATATGGAACAGCTGACATAAATTCTCTTGGAACTGATGGAAAACTACTTAAACTCAACTGTAAGTACTTTTTCTGACCTTTCATACTGGGCTTTGGGGACTTAGGATCCATTTGAAAATATTGCACTTGATACTTACTACATTGGGCTTTACTGTCTTTGTGTGGTTCCAAAGCAGACACTTGTATGATCCTTGGCTTGAAGACCTCTAAAGACTATTTCAGAGACACCGCCCCCCACACAACCGCCACTCCCCACCACCACTTTCAGGCTTTTCTTCTTAGTGCTTGATGACCTCAAAGGAAAGTGGATCTCTCTCCACTTAGTCCACTCTGCAGAACTTTGGGTCAATAACACTTCCTGTGGCTGCCCTTGGTAGCAGCATTTCCCCACACTTGTTCACTTATAAGAATAAATGCAAATGCATATTTCTTTTGTTATATAATAGTATTCACCAAATATGACCCATCCAGAAGATGGTCATAGATTTTGTGGACTGTCTGTCATGTGGAGCCTGTAATGGACACTGCTGTACAGAAAGGAAGAGGCATCCACAGGGTGTGGTGTGCACTGTGTGTGAGAATCACAATTGGCCAGTGAGGACGCCTGCATAGAGTGGGGGTGGGGAGAGCTACAGAAGCATCTTTGTGCCTTTCAGCTCCCTTCATTGAAGAGAACCTACCTAGTTAACTAGCTGTCTTCGTGCTTGCTTTTTTGTTGTTGTTGTACTTCATTTTTTTTCTTTTTTTTTTTTTTTTTTGAGATAGGGTTTCACTCTGTCAGTCAGGCTGGAGTGGAGTGGTGATCATAGCTCACTGCAGCCTTGAACTGGAGCTCAAGTGATCCTCCTGCCTCAGCCTCCTGAGTAGCTGGGACTATAGGCTTGTGCCACCATGCCTGGCTAATTTTTCTGTTTTTTGTAAAGATGGGGGTGTCACCATGTTGCTCAAGCTGGTCTCAAATGCTTGACCTCAAGGGATTCTTCTGCCTTGGCCTCCCAATGTGGTGGGATTATAGGTGTGAGCCACCGCACCTGGCCAACTTTTTAAAAATATCAGCTTTACTGAGACATTTTTGGGTTCTTTCTCTTTCCCCGTAGTTCTGTCCTGTGCAGCTTCCTCTGTAGTACAATGTCTTGCAAATTCTAAGCACCTTCTCAATCTCCAGTCTTTGACTGTTGAACTTAGTCTTCCCCTCTTTCCTCTCTCTCTATGCTGTGGCATGGAAACTGCCTCCAGGCAGTAAGCGGAGGCAATAGAGGGGTTGCTTTTTTTTGTTTTCTTCTCTCAGGGATCTCCCTCCTGCTCTAATGTCTGAAAATAATTGTTTTATCTATTTTGTCAGGTTTTTTTTGTGGTTTAAGGTGGGAGGGTATATCTGGTCCCTGTTACTCCATCTTGACCTGTGACCTTTCAGAATTAGTTAATGCCTGTGGGCATTATCTGTAGACTGAGGAAATCTTTGCCAAAGGCTTTTTGGGGCTGGGTTCAGAAGAGCTGGCCCAAGGCAGAGCATTGCTCTTGGCAGTGTCTGGTGATGGGTGAGCAGGTGTTGATGATGCAGCCTGATGTGGTCATTCTCACTCCTGTCACTTGGGGAGCTGCTCCTATTGCCATTCCATTATGAATGACACTTTGGTCCTCCTCCTCAGCTCGATCCACACTGGCCATCGATTGGGACAGTGAGACCCGGAGCCTTTATTATGATGAGCAAGAATCTGAGGTGGGTCACTCAGGGTTCCTGGTCGGTGGGGTGTGCTGGTTTCTGTTCTGGGTTTGTAGTAGGATCACTTTCACCAGTTGGACATCAATGTAACAAGTTATGTTTAAGACTGAGAATGAAAAGTTCTTCAAGATTTTGTCAATTTGTGTTCAGCGGCTCTAGAAAATATACTGTATTCCAAGCAGGAGAGCTTCTGTAGCCCTTTATGTCTTGGTCCAGTAAGATCTGTTTGTCCAGGAGAACTCAATGCTTTGTTTCTCACAGACATATGAGAAACACGTGAGCATGTTGCAGCCTCAGAAGAAGAAGAAGACCGCAGTGGCCCTGAGAGATTGCATTGAGCTCTTCACCACCATGGAGACCCTTGGGGAGCATGACCCCTGGTATGTAGCTCCCCACTCTGGGTAGAGGCACCATGCCCCCAGGATGCTGAAATCTGCTAGGGCCATCTGTGCACACAAAAACCCTTTTTATTTGGACATGTCATTTTTTTCACGTGGCCAACCCTACAACATAGCTCTCTGTGTGAGTTATGTTTTCCAGACTAAGAAAGCCATCCCCCTATTCTCGAAGGCAGGCCCCTGCCCTGAAGCAGTAGTGTTGAGTGCTGCCTGAAAGGGTGGCAGCTGTTGCAGGACTGATTGTCCAGGTGGTACTGGCTGCCTGCCTCCCCCACTAAGTGGAGGTTTCTCTTTTCTCTTCAGGTACTGTCCCACCTGTAAGAAGCATCAGCAGGCCACAAAGAAGTTTGACCTGTGGTCGTTGCCCAAGATCCTGGTGGTCCACCTCAAACGTTTCTCCTACAACAGATACTGGAGGGATAAACTCGACACAGTTGTGGAATTCCCAGTCAGGTGGGTTCCTGTGACTGCATTATTAGGAAAATTGAAACACAGGCAGGAAATCTGGTCACTGATTGGCTGAGAAGTTTGCCATGAAAAACTTTTCTGAATTAGGATGTGTGTTGCTGGGCTCAGGGGTGTCAGCTCTTAACTGTCATTACCCCTTCCCTCCCCATCCTCCCATCTTTCAGGGAAAAGACTCTCCGGTATAAGCACTGCCCCAGGCTCAGGGTGCTGGTGGTCATCTCTGCCATTTCTGCTTCCTCTCTAGTCCCTCGTGCCATGTCACTGGCCTGTTTACCCTATCCATCGCTTGCAGGGGGCCTGGCCTCAGCAGGGGCAGTACAACCACAGTGCTGCTCCTCCAGCAGGGGCAAGACACCCAGAGAGAATCAGGTTATTGTCGGGGGCTGCAGGTGGGCTTGCAGACCCGCCATGGTCCTGTTCCTGGGGTGGAGACTGGGACTAGCTGTCTACTCATATCCTCTCAGGCCCCAGGGTTCCATCTGTAACTGAGACAGGAAAGTAAGTCAACAAGATAGGAGTTCCCCATAAAATACAGATTTTAAAAGGCTTTCTGGGGGGAATGGATAGATCCATAAAGTATAACTGTCAGCAGGAGAATCTAGGTGGCGGGTAATGAGTATTTGTTGTAAAATTCTTTTAACTTTTCTGTATGCTTGAAATTTTTAAAACAAAATGCTGGTGGGGGCGCTTTCTGGGGCCTGTTTTGGGGTTTAGCTGAAATTATTGTGGCACCAATTGTAATTCTCTTACTAATAGCCATTTCTGTATAGGTGTTAAAGCTGCCTTTGTCTCCACACCATTTCCTCACCATTTGGTCTGGTGTTGGAGTTACCCAGTAGGCTCCTCTCATTTTCTGACCTGAATATGTCAGTGGTCAGAACACAAACCCTAGGGTCCTTTCTATCATGGTCTTTTCATTTATTCGTTCTCAAACAGTTTGAGTGCCTCCTCGTGTTCTGGTCCTATTTCGTAAAAGGGGTTGCTGGGTTACTCCGATTTCTTTCTCTGATTTTAATGTATTTAAGAGCTATTTTTGTGTTTTGTGCTTAGAGGTCTGAATATGTCTGAGTTTGTCTGTGACCTGTCAGCAAGGCCTTATGTGTACGACCTCATTGCTGTGTCCAACCATTATGGAGCCATGGGGGTTGGTCACTGTAAGTATTGGCATCTGCTTTCTTCTGAAATGTTGAAATGCCCTTGGCCAGTCATCTCTCATCAGTCTCTCCTGTGTGCCAGTCATTGCCCTAAGCACTTACACAGTTCCATAGGCCTCAGACTTTAGACTTTTTCAGTACTGCTTCCCCTCTGTTCTTTTTTTACATTCTTTTTAATTTTCATATTCTTTAATTCAATAACCCTACCTCTAGGAATTTAGTGTAAGGAAATAACTTGACATTGGGGAAAAGCTTTATGCACAAAGATAGTCACCTATTTCTAGTTATGAAAAGGTAGTAACAGCATTGGTGACCAACAGTTGGCACTACTGTCCATCTACTTGGTAGAAGAATACATAGCCATTTCAAAATAAAACGAGTAACAATGTGGGGATATGCCCATGGTATATTAAGTAAAAACAAATTGTATCATTACAGAAGGTAGTATCACGACTATGTTAAACCAAAAAGCAAAGGAATTTATGGGGCGGGAAGGGGGTTGGACTGGAAGAAGAGACACCAAAATGTTTACTTTTTTCTCTTTGCTCTACTTTATTTTCCAAAATTTCTATACAATGTAGGTTTACTTTTATAAAGACCCTAGTACATTTTGTTACTTGTTTATGGAAAAGTGCTAGTGATGTTGGAGTAAGGAGCTGGCTTTGCTCACATCTCCTCTACCGTATCTACTTTTGGCCAACTGCCAGCATATCCACTTTTAGGAACCCAAGAGATGACACTGTGGGAAGTGTCAGTTTCATTTATACCTACAGCAGGTTATGGAACTGCCCTAAAGCCCAGTTTTAGCTGCTGCACTAATACGCTTTTTCTCTTGGCCCAGTGGTCTATTCTCCTGCCTTCCATTCACCGTATCCCCACCTGGCTGCAGATGGCTGCTCAGTCTCCAGTCCTCATATTTACATTCCATGCCATCAGAAAAAGGGGAAAAAAGGGTCAACTTTCCCTTTTAAGCAGACCTCCCAGAGGTTCCCCCTCATCTTCTCTGCATACATCTCATTGGCTGTAAACTTGGTCACATTGCTACATGTAGCTGCAGGAGAGGCTGGGAAATAAAAATTGTACCTGCATGAAAATTGGGGCCCTACTGAAGTGGCTGTTAAAGATCTTTGATCATATCATATCCTGCAGTGCTCACTGTTCTGCAGCTTGCTTTTTTCTCTCAGAATTAATTTTGATACCTGTTTTCTTGCATACTGGTCAAACGTATTCCTTTTAACTGCTATTTTAGCACCCAGACATACCACTCGGGCAAGTTTCTCAGCCTCAGTTTTTCTCATCCATGAGGTTAGGCTGGTTATGTGAGGGTCCACATTGGGCCCACAATTGGAACTCCAAGATCAAGAGCCACTATTGCTGCTGTTATCTTAAGCACAGTCTGAACAGGCCCTGAGCACCTTCTCTGTTGCTTTTTCCCATGTTCCTCGCCACCTCTTGGTACAGTTGGTGCTACACTGAAATGTTAAACAGCTTGCCCAAAGTCATACAATAAATTGAGACTAGAAACCAGATCTTCATTTAGATTCCGTAGTTTCTGAGAGTCTGGGTGGAGCAGGAATTAAGGATTGTGGCTGGGATTGCTATTATAAACACATCCTGCTTGGAAACAGCATAAAAATCAAGACAGGAAGTATTGGCTGTGGGAAATGTTTGGACCATTGTGAGGAACTGTTACTCAACCACAGACTCTTGACTCACAGTTTTAGAGAAAGATGAATTTAAGGCTTTTTGTTCACATCCCAGCTCCGTAAACCCAAACACCCAGTGTTTACCTAATTGGGACTGGTCCTATAGGCTCCAGAGCACTGAGAGCCTTCTGCTGATGGTAGTAGCCATCTGCCTGCATGCAGTGGGGGGATTGACTTGGCATGTGCTTTTGAGAGCTATTGTTTTGCTTAAATCTTAGAAATATCAGCTCCTGGCCAGGTGTGGTGGCTCAAACCTGTAATCCTAGCACTCTGGGAGGCTGAGGTGGGAGGATTGCTCGAGGTCAGGAGTTTGAGACCAGCCTGAGCAAGAGCAAGACCCCATCTCTACTAAAAAGATAGAAAGAAATTAGCTGGACAACTAAAAATATATGTATAAAAAATTAGCTGGGCATGGTGGCGCATGCCTGTAGTCCTAGCTACTCGGGAGGCTGAGGCAGAAGGATTGCTTGAGCCCAGGAGTTTGAGGTTGCTGTGAGCTAGGTTGACGCCACGGCACTCTAGCTCAGGAAAAAGAGAAAAACTCTTTTCCAAAAAAAAAAAAAAAAAAAAAATACCAGCTCCTTTTATGGGTCCCCTGGCTCTGGATGATTACACATAGCCATCCTGAAGATTGACACTGGATATCTATTCTTTGGATTTGTTTCCCAAAATTACAGTTTAAACAGCTCCATTCTTAACCCTTTAGAGCCTTTTTGAGAAGTAATAGATTAGAAAAAAAGAGTTGTCTTTTGGTTGTTAAGACAAAAGCTGTAAGTTATTTTTAATGTCAGGGGTTTGTTTTTGAGTTGTTTTTGCTGTGTGCTTAGTGCAAGCCAGATTAATTGCCTGGTGACTGCTAGACTATTTTCTTTGTTGACTTGGCAGACACCGCATATGCCAAGAACAAACTGAACGGGAAATGGTATTACTTTGATGATAGCAACGTGTCCCTGGCCTCTGAGGATCAGATAGTGGTGAGTAGCCCTGATTACCTGGTTCTTACTCTTGCCTTAATAGGTTAAAGCTGGGAAGAGTCTCTTGTCTGACTTGTTGGTCATTTCATCATCCTGATGTGACATTGGGAGCTAGGTGTGATAGAGTGAGTTGGCTGCCATTCCTTCTGAGACCCTCCATAAATAAGCTCTCCTCAGGGTTCCGTGTCCAGGGCACCTGCCTTCCCCTAATACCCTGGCAGGGGCAGCATAGCCAGCCTCAGGTGGAAGGGCCTTCCTGTTGTCTTCTGTGTAGATACATAGGGCAAAGTGGCAGATCCCTGAGAGTTTTGAACAGTAAAAGAAAAGCTGGGGAAAATGGGTGATTTTTCCAACCAGTGAATAGACTTTCCCCTTTTTGTGTTTTAGACGAAAGCAGCTTACGTGCTATTTTACCAGCGTCAAGATGATGAGTCTTGCAAGATGCCTTCACTCAGCAGTTTTCCTGGTTCCTCTGATGGAGGATCGAGACCAAGCAGCTCACAACAGGGCTTGGGGGATGACGACGAGGCTTGTAGCATGGACACCAACTGACACTGACTTGGCCGCCCTGCAGCACCAGCGCAGTCCCCCAGGACATCTTTCACACTCTGAAGACCGCTAGTGTTCAGTCTAAACACCAGATGAGGAAATTCCCTTTTTTTATGAGAAGAAGGGAAAAAAAAAGACGCTGTTTACTTGGAAGGGTTATGTCAAAAGGCTGAATTATTTTTCTCTTTAAATAGGTGGTGAGAAATTTCTGTAAAACCTGTGAAGCTGAAAAGTGCGGTAGGGTGGGGGTACACAGCAGTATGTCTGATGGATTCCAAGGACTGGCTAGGAATGCACTAACTGAGTGGTGCAGTTGTGAAGGGCCCACGCAGGGCTGCCCCAGCTCGTGATTTCTGGTTCTGGTGCGGATACTACTCCCCCAGTAGTCTGCCCACAGTCAGCCAAGCCTCAAGTAAACTTGGTGTTGTCTCCTTCTCCCTTGCTGTGTGTACTGAGATGGGTTTATAATTTTCTAAAAATTAGCCACTGAAGCCCATTTCTGTTTCTCCTTTGAGTAATCTTGGAATTTTCAGCTTTCTTCCCCCTAATGAAGTGAAGATATTTAGTGTTGGGGTCTCCTGCCCCTCAACCTCCTGTGGAACCTAGCAGTTCTGTTGTGTCCCCCACTGTCCTTGATGAATCGAGACAGACATTGTGTGGAACTTTTATTAGCTATCACTTAAAAGAAGTCGGTACACAAAACTGCTGGGTACCGTGTCCCATCCAGTCATTTCTCTCCATGTTGGCTTGAGAACGGGAACCTCTGTGGGCGATGTCAGGCATGGAAAGGGCTCCGGCTCATGCCGGTTTGGGGTGATGCTTTCAGGTATGGCCCAGAGTCCCTCCGGCCCAGATCCCTTGAGATCTCTCCTCCCCTAGCCGAGTCCGGCTCGGCCCCGCCCCGCCTCGCCTGCAGTGAGGCGGAGCTCGCGTCCCGCTGCCTCCTCCTGTGTGGGGGGGCCTCTGCCCCCTTTCCAGCCACCTGGGTGTGGGCTTAAAGATCACAGTCGTCCGGGCCTTTTTGTCTGACCTTTAACCTAATCCGTGGGGGTGGAGGCCCCTGGTCTCGGGGCATGCGCGATCTGGGCGAGCGCGGTGACCGTTGGCGGGGTGGCGGCGGTGGTGTCGCCGCGCTGCGTGGTGAGGACGCGGCTGTGGGCGGGCAGCCGTGGGTGCCGGTACTACCGAGCCTGGGAGCTGGTGGGGCGGGTGGCAGGGGCCGGGAAACCACGGGAGGCGGGTGAGGTCCCGGGGCTCCTGCCAAATGAGAGTTCCTCCCGCAGAACTGTGGGCCACACCCGCCTACACCAGGAGGAAAGGGAAGAAAGTGCCCCGGTGCGGGGCCTCCTGCTATAGCGAGGGTCATCCTCAAGGAAATCATGGCGAGCGCCCCACTCAGGGGTGGTTTGCAACCTCATTTGTAACATCGTTGTGTTGCTCTGTGCATTTCCAATGTATTATATAAAGGCATGGTCACTTTTAGGGGAAATGTCCGAAAAACTAAGAAGATGCAGAAAGGAGCTGACGGCAGCCATTGACCGGGCCTTTGAAGGAGTCAGTCATTCCCAGGAGTGCACAGGCCAGCAGAGGCTGGAGCTGGACGCTGCTCCGCTTTCCTTCTCGCTGCCTGTGCACAGGCTTCTCTGCAGAAGACATCCCTTGGCAGCCTGCTCTGCTGCTGCTCCTTTTGCGGCTGTCCCATGTGCTCCTGAGAATGAGAACCCTACCTTTGCATCAAACGATGGCCCAGTAAATGCAAAACCACATGCTTTATGCCCCAAAAGAAAACCTCTGACCAGCAAAGAAAATATAGTGATGCATTCTTCCATTTTGGCACCTGAAAGACAGTTTTGGAGAGTTGCAGGAGATGGGGAAAACTGGAGAAAAGAAAGTTTAAGGTGATTCAAATTTGATAATTTAATAGCTACAATTAAGAGGATTCTTGTTTCTAGAAAAAATGTTGAAGATCCTAGATTTAGTTCATGACAGTGCTCTTACCTCTTCTTGGGAGCTTTACAACTGTATTTGGGAAGTTCACGGACATTCTTCAGAATCTGACCCAGAAAATAATTATGTTTTATGTATGTTTTTGGGTTGAAGGGCTGGTTGTCAATCCTGGATATTAAACCAGTCATGGAAACCACTTTGCAGTATCCAGAGGGGTAATGAATGTTAAGTAACCAGGTTTTAAAAATAAGCTTATTGTTTATGCTATAGAAGCAAAAATATTTTTTTTTTTTTTGGAGACAGAGTCTCACTCCGTTGCCTGGGCTAGAGTGCCATGGCATCAGACTAGCTCACGGCAACCTCCAACTCCTGGGCTTAAGCAATCCTACTGCCTCAGCCTCCCGAATAGCTGGGACTACAGGCATGCACCACCATGCTCAGCTACTTTTTTTTCTATATATTTTTAGTTGTCCAGCAAATTTCTTCCTATTTTTTTAGTAGAGATAGGGTCTCGCTCTTGCTCAGGCTGGTCTCGAACTCCTGACCTCAAGCAATCCTCCCGCCTTGGCCTCCCAGAGTGCTAGGATTATAGGCATGAGCCACCACACCCGGCCTAGAAACAAAAATTTTAATTCCATCTTAACTCTTGTGTTTGAACCTGGACACTTGGGGCTTTTGATACCCTCCTTTGCCCACATTTGGGAGAGACTGAATCAAAGGCTGGGCCCTACTTCCTGGCTTCATCCTTCCCTCTGCTCCCTTCCCACCCTAGAGCTTTTTGTACTGTCACCAGGTTAAAGTCTCCTCTTGACCTTTTTTTCTCGCACATAACTTCAAACTGCCTGGTCCCAGGTACCTTGACTTGGAGAAGGGATGACATAGGATGAAACTTCTAAGTCCTGTCATTTTGGCTGCCCCATAGGCAGGGTATACGGAGGCCATTTAACTGGTTCAGCTCCACGAATAATATCGGTATTCATAAACATTAATGCAGTCTGTGATGCTTATGAGTCATTATGATGATACTATTAGTCAGTTTCTTCACTGATTTAGCAGTTTCTGATTGCCCTCTAATCACAGTATAAATGATAATTTGAAGTCACCAGTAAGTTTTTGTCTTTAGGATTATCTGAGTTCCCTCCAGTATTTTCTTGAAAGAGTGTCTAATTCCCCACCTTTTTTTTCCCCCCACCTGGGGGCTGCAGGAAAGATATGGAGAAAGATTTGAAGGTTGACCCAAACATCTCACTCAACAGTTCTAACCAAGAGGTCACAAAGGATCTGCTTGACATGATTGGTGAGTACATAGGGCCAGTCTGTCCTTTCCTTGGGAGGGAGGATAGGGTCCTTCTTGCTGGCCCTTGAATCAGCAGATGTCTCAGATTGAAAAAAAATTCTCTTATCTATTTATCTGATAGGTTTTGTTTTGTTCACAGCAGACTCTGCGTAGCACAGAGCCCTGCCCTCATAGAACTGATAATTTAGCAAGGTCACAACACATCCATCAGGTCATTTCATAAATGTATAGTTACAGTGAGTCCCTGAACGTAAGGGTTGGTGGTCACCAGGACTTGGTGATTGAGCTTAGATTTGTAGGGAATAGGACATAGGCAAAGAGGAGGAGAGTAGTCCAGCTAGGGTGGGTAGTAGAAGATTAGAAGAAAAATTAGAAGGCAAAAGCTGTGCTATAATTCTACCACCCAGAGATAGCCATTGTTAATATAGTATAGTATACATTCTGTCAGACATTTTTTTCTACACACAAATCTATATATACTTTATGTGAACTACATGTGCCCTATTTTTAAACAACTCATCCTACGCAGTACACAAACAGCTCCTAGTGAAGGGATGCATAGCCTTGGGCGCTGCCTAAAGCTGTTGGCTCTGAAGGGTCTCTACATTAAGGGAGAGGAGAGGGAGGCCTGGTGAGGGGAGGCACACACTGTAGGCCACAAAATATTTAATAAGACCCCTGCCAGCCTGCGACTTCAGTGGACCGGGTCTCCTCTGATAGCCGCAGGAGGTGAACTGAAGTCATTATTGCCTCTCCCCACTATCTTCATTGGCCCTCACCAGCAGCAGGCAGCATTTTGATTACCCTAAAGTCCCTGAAAGCCAGGGTAAGCATGTGCATTTCTGTATCCTCTCACTTATACCTTCCTTGGGGACTGGCAGGTAGTTGGGGCTTGATAAATGCTTGGGTCTGAAAGGAGGCACCAGGCCCACCTTACTTTGGCACTCACTCTGGTAGCCTGCCTACCCTGGGGCAGAAATGTCTGGCTTTGCACAATCCCTGAAGAGTGACCACCCATTCAATTGTTGGTTTTTAACTTGTGCCTGAAATGTCTTCAAAAACTTTTCACTGGATATTCTTATTTTTAAGACCACACAAACATCCGAACTATTGAAGAATTGGCTGGAAAACTAGAATTCGAAAACGAGTTGAACCGTGTGTGTGGTCGCTGCCAAGATTCACCCTTCAAGGAGGAAGCCTGGGCTCTGCTTATGGACGAGAGCCCTCAGAAGGCACTGGATGCTGACCCTGGTAGTCTCAAGCAGGCTTTCGATGATCATAATGTAGTTGAGACTGTTCTGGACTTGGAAGAGGACTACAATTTGATGACCTCTTTTAAATACCAAATGGATTAAGGACAGTTGACCTTAGCTTTGATTCTTTACAGCAGGAGGCTGTCATTAAGGAGCCTGAGCAGAAGCAGACACGGTGGTTGTCAGGGGCCACATTTTTCCAAGGGTTTGCAAAACCTTTTTAAACTCCCAGTTATGTCCCTTTTTGAGCTGAGAGCCCAGTTTTTGAATTCTGTTGCTCTAATATGTTTCCCACTGTTGATTTTGACTTTTCTTGACATCTTGAATGTGTTTTTTAAATTGATGTTCAATATACCCAGTACCCAAGGTAGGTGCGGGTTGTAGGCCTCTGCTGTGTCTTTTGGTGTTCTTTTCCATGGGCCCCTAAAAAAGTACAGTAACCATACCAGGGTGGGCTTTGTGTACCCCTGGGACGAGCCCATCCTGGGCCAGATCAGCCTACACAGAGGAATCAGACCTTGGCCTGGGCCCTCTGCCACACTTACACAATTTTCTCTCCTTGTACACTTAGTACACATAGCTCCCTGTTCCCTGCATGGACCCCATGCCCTCCCCATGTCTAGACCTACCTCCCCTCAATTCTCCCATCCCTGTCCCTACCCCGCTTACAGGCCTCTGCAGCAGGCTCTTGGTTGAATCAGAAGAGCTGGCAGGATCCCTGGCTCCCTGACAGGACATTTTTGTGAGGCCTCCCTACCACTCCTCACACCCCAGACACCTGGGCCCTGAGCTGAGGGGGAATGCAGAGGGAAAGGTGAGTACAGGTCCTGCCCGTCCGCCTTTCTACTTGAGCCTCATCCATCCCGCTACAGGCCTGGAGACCACAGGTGGTTCCTATGGCAATAACCTTGCCGGGGAAGACAGGGCAGGGAGGGAAAGAAGAGCCAGGCCATTGCCCTCCTAAGGTCAGCATAGTATCAAAAGTTTATTGGCTCCAGCTCCACCCCTGGAAAGAAAGGACGTCGTCGGAAATTATTTGGACATATATTTCAAAGCCATGATGTTCTCTCAGGAAACCTAATAAGCTGTTGGCCAAGGTTTTTATGTATGCCAGAAACTGAGTCTCAGGGAATACCACCCTCTGAGCTAATCAGGAAGGAGGATGGGGGTGAGGAGGCTGGCACTGGGCTGTTTCGTGGACTCAAAGCCTGAACAAACCAAAGAACTAGGGAGAAAGGCCCAACAGCTGAGTGACTGCCCACCAGGCCACCTTCTAGGCCAGTGACCTAGCATGGGGGTGCTGCAGAGCCAGCAACACCCCTTTACCACAGGTCTAGTGAGTCCTCTGGCTCAAAGGTGGAAGCTGCACATCCACTCCTTAGCAGAGCTCGGCCCAGGACCTGCCAGTGCCCCAAGAACTGTGGTGCAGCAAGACCCCAGCCACTTGGTCAGATGTGCCTCCCCAGTGGGTGTTCACTGGTTCCCACCCAGTTGTGGCCACTGCCCTACCTGGGGCAGGAGGGGAGGACAAGGCTAACCAGAGGCTCCTCCCAGGCCACCTGCCACTCAGTCCCTGCAGGAGGTAGCACCCTCGATAAGCATCCACAGCCTGTGGAGTTAGAGGCCATTTTCTTCTTCCAAAGCAGGAAGAATAGGAACAAATGAGAAGAAATACAACATCCTTGACTGGCTGTATGGAGAGATGTCAGACTAATTGATATTTTAAAAAGCTGTCAAAACAGTACATTCCAAATATATGTGGATAGTCTTCTATGGAAGGAGTAGGGCTTAATTCTCATCCTTCCCACCCACCACCCACCTTATCAACACCTTTTGAGGGTGAGCTAGACTTAATGACTTTTTTCTAAAGAGTAAGGAAAGAGAAAAATCACAAGCTAACAGTAAACAAACCTGGCATACACTACCTTAACCAAATGTTGAAAGTTAACCTCACCAGTGATGTTAAATGAGTGTGACACACACCCTGATAGGATGCCACAACAAGGGTGCTTCACCTCCCTGGTATTCTTACCAAATCTCCATCTCCCTAGTTTATGATCAGGAGACAAATGTCAGACAAACCCAGATTGGAGGACGTTCTACAGGATACCTGGCCAGAACTAAAGACTGTCAAGGTCATGAAAAACAAGGAAAGACTCAAAAACCATCATAGACCACTAAAGACTAAGGAGACACAATGACTAAATACAATGTGGAAACCTGGATTGCATCCTGGAACAGAGGACATTAATGGAAAAATTGGTGAAATCCGAATAAAGCCTGAAGTTTAGGCCGGGCGCAGTGGCTCACGCCTGTAATCCTAGCTCTCTGGGAGGCCGAGGCAGGCGGATTGTTTGAGCTCAGGAGTTCGAAACCAGCCTGACCAAGAGCAAGACCCCGTCTCTACTAAAAATAGAAAGAAATTAATTGGACAACTAAAAATACATAGAAAAAATTAGCCGGGCATGGTGGCGCACGCCTGTAATCCCAGCTACTTGGGAGGCTGAGGCAGAAGGATCACTTGAGCCCAGGAGTTTGAGGTTGCTGTGAGCTAGGATGACGCCACGGCACAGTAGCCCGGGCAACACAGTGAGACTCTGTCTCAAAAAAAATAAAAATAAAAATAAAAAAGCCTGAAGTTTAGTTAATATATTAATGTCAGTTATTTAGTTTTGACATATGTACCATAGTTATGTAAGATGTTAACATTGGAGAGGCTGGGTGAAGGGTGTATATGAACTTGCTATCTTTTTTTTTTTTTTTGAGACAGAGTCTCACTCGGTTTCCTGGGCTAGAGTGCTGTGGCGTCAGCCTAGCTCACAGCAACCTCAAACTCCTGGGCTCAAGCGATCCTTCTGCCTCAGCCTCCCTGGCAGCTGAGACTACAGGCGTGCACCACCATGCCCAGCTAATTTTTTTTATATATATATATTTTTAGTTGTCCAGCCAATTTCTTTCTATTTTTTTTTTTAGCAGAGATGGAGTCTCGCTCTTGCTCAGGCTGGTCTCGAACTCCTGAGCTCAAACGATCCGCCAGCCTCGGCTTCCCAGAGTGCTAGGATTACAGGCGTGAGCCACCATGTCCCACCTGAACTTGCTGTCTTTGCAACTTTTCTATAAACCTAAAATTACTCCAAAATTTAAAATGCACTTAATAAAGTGCAGTTGATCCCAAGTTTGTCAAAATATATGTATGAGCACACGTGCAAAAAACTGTTATGGGGGGAATAAGGAGAGTTATTAGTCTTTTTCTTGCTTGTATTTTCTAACTTATCTGCATTCAACATGTATCACTTCTGTTAAAAAAAAAATTGAAGTTGTTTCTTTAAAACTCTCATCGCCATCAATTAGCCATGGGTGTCCCTCACCAGCTCCCTGCCCAGACCCAACCTCCATGGCTTCTGGGGACTGGAATGGAGTCCAGGAGCCATAACAGGAGGGCCCAGCAGGACCCTGACAAGGGAGCAGTCCTTCCCTGAACATACTGAATGCTCAGGGGCCGGATGCTTTATGTCTCACAGAGCTGTTTCTCAGGAGTTCAGCTCACTGGTCAGGGTGTAGCCCCTCCCCAGGTGGGGCTTTGCAGAAGTGGCTACTGTAACCAGGATCTAGCTCTAACCCTAGAAGTCTTTGAAATGAGAGGATTTTAAAATTCTACCTGGGGTAAAGACTGTGCCCTTGGGAATGAGGGCCCAGCACAGGCTGGGGGTAGGGTAGGTAGGAGGGAGAGTTCAGGTTCTCCCTGGCCAGGGGGACAGGTATGCCTCTGTTTAAGCAAAGCCTTTATGTGAAAATTCAGATTTATCAAAGAGGTAATTCCTCCTGGAATCCTTGCATGAGGAACTTTTCCTCACTGTAGAAACATAGCTATTTAGTAAAGTAGGTGACACTGAGCCTCTGGTATGCCAGTCCCAGATTAGCCCAGGATGGGCATATGAGCCTCCCCTTTTCCCTGGTGACATGATGTACTATTCCTGTCTCTGCATCCCTGGCTCCCTAAAGTGCCCAAGGAGACCTTCCTGCCTATGTCATCTGTGTCAATGCAAAGGGCACATGTATGTTCATCTGCTCAGGACAAGGTTTGGGGACTTCTCCAGGGATTTAGCTGGAGGGGAAATAGGAGTCTAGAATTTTAATAAAACTTCCTAGGAGGTTGGGGCACGGTGGTTCACACCTGTAATCCTAGCACTCTGGGAGCCCAAGGCAGGAGGATTGCTTGAGGTCAGGAGTTCGAGACCAGCCTAAGCAAGAATGAGACCCCATCTCTACTAAAAATAGAAAAAATTAGCCAGACATGGTGGTGGGTGCCTGTAGTCCCAGCTACTTGGGAGGCTAAGGCAGGAGGATCGCTTGAGCCCAGGAGTTTGAGGTTGCTGTGAGCCAGTCTGATACCACAGTACTCTAGCCTGGGTGACAGAGCGAGACTCTGTCTCAAAAAAAACAAAACCTTCCTCAGATTTGCCCAGAGCTAAGACTGAAGTCTTCTCAGGGAAACTTGAAAGTTGACCTTGGTGATGGCTGAGAAACTTCATGAATGTTTTACGTCACTCAGTTCTCTCTCCCACAGTTCATCTTGCTAAGCCAAACAATCACTGAATTGTTTCCGTGGAAACACCAAACTGCAATTTGGATTACCAGAATCAAAATAGAAACAAGACAGCTTCAAAAATAAATAGGAGCTTTGGAACCTGCAAGTCGCAAAGTAAAAATTCAAGCCATAGCACAAGGCATATGAGAAGCTGGGCTCATCCACCCCTATGAAGAGAGATTCCAGGACCCATGGATGCATCCCACTGGTTTTCATGCCAAAGCCACTAGAAACCAGCTTTGTAAGCGGCCTGGTAGACTTGGCAACAATACTTAAGGCAGGAGCTGGTCTGCAGAGGCTCCTAGAAGGAGAGGCTGGAGGGCTGGAGGGGAAGGCTGAGGAAGAAAGAATAGGAGCAAGGAGAGAGGTGAGTGAATGGCAGAGTGAAGGTGGGGAGCACAGAGTCACAGTTGAGGCCTGGGAGCATAGCAGCAGTTTTTTCAAAGGGACTCTTCAAGAGGCATGGCCATGTGCTGCAAATGGTGACCCTGCCCTCAGTTCAGCCAGACTGCAGTGTTCCCCACACCCAGGCATGGCTAGCTGTCCAGCCTCATGGATCTGGTTCTAGACCATGCACTCTTGCCAGGTGAGCTCTGGGGGCACTTCTGTTAGCATGCCTCTGCATCTGTAAGGCTCAACCCAGCACTGTTGGGTACTAGGACTTCTTCTCATCTCTGGGTTCTTCCTACTCCTCCCTCCTGCTCCTGTCACTCTAAGATAGGGGAAGCCACCCCCTGGCCTACCTGTCCTGGCTCCTTGGCATTTTCCTGGATCACCCACTGATAATTCCAAAGAAGACTCCAAAGGGATCAAAAGACCAGGAGGAAGGTGACAGACAACCTAGAGCCTGTGTCCACTCAGAAATGTGCTGGCAGGGCAACGACACCATCCTGATATAAAGTTGTGAGCTATGTTCAAAGATCGATGAATAGGATATGCAAAAGGGGCCTAACTCAGGCCAGTTTCCCTCCAGAAATAGACCAGGCCAGGCCCTCACCTGGTACCAGAGTGGCACTTCTGATTGAGCCATAAGATGTTTAATATGGCAAACAAGGGGAAGCCTTGGGAATCTAGTGCACTTGATTATAGATGATTATTGAAAAGGCTCTGTGACGCTGAGACAATCTGAGGCTCTGGCAACTTGCTTTCTCCTTGGAATGTGTGCGAGAACATTAATATTTTAGGTTCCAGCTAAATATTTATAGTGGGAACAAAGTTTTACTCAGGAAATCTATTTGACAATGGATCCCAGGCCTCGTGGGGAAGGACTCTCTGTCCTAGGGTGTCTGGAAAATGGCCTGATTTAATGAAGACTTTTGGCCTAAGGCCTGACATAAAAAAATTTTCAGAACTACCCAACCCTTGTAAGGAAGCAACTAACTTTTTTAAGGGCAGAGAGGCTGTTGTTTTCTGGGCAATTTGGACGAGAGACTTGTTGGAAACTGGCCTGGGAGAGAGAAGCAAGCACCTTGCAGGAGGCCCCTCATCAGGAGTCCTTTGGAGCTTCCGAGGCAAAATACCAAAAAGGGAAGTTGCAAAAGGATGCTATAGAGAGGACCCACTTCCAGGACAGGCCTGCAGAGGAGCTGTTTGAATGATAAGAAAGCAATCCCTGCCCTCAACAAGTATTAATCAAGTGTGTACTGGTGTCAGACACTCTGCTGGGTGCTGGGGACACAACAGGGATAAGGCAGATACTACACTTGCTTGTGAAGTTTATATTCCACTGGGCAAGGCAGGTGAAACACAGGTATACAAATTAATACATAATTTCAAATGGAGCAGTATAAGGAAATTAAAACTGCGCAAGGGAATGCGTAGTAAGTGGGATGAGTAGAGAGGTCAGGAAAGGCCTCCCTTAAATTGATACTTGAATGTGAAGACAATTGGGTGCTGCAATCAGCTTCATTTCCATTCTCAGGCTACAGTTGGAGTTGTATCAGTGGGAGGGGACCCTGGGTAGCTCTCTGGGCCCCAGGCCCATAGACCTCCCACCACATCCGCCCCTGCATAGCCACATACAGCTCCAGGAGTATCTGAAGAGCCAAAAACGTTGCATGCTCCCAGGGATGTGTCTGGGCTGTGTCACGCTCACCAAATCTGGTAGGAACACAATAGTTAATTAAATAAGCCTTAGGAATAAAGTAAGAAACAGAATATCCTTTCCTGATGATCCCTAGAGACAGGCAGCATAATTTTACTTAACCCAGCCTTGGTAGGAGATATGTTTACCACTTGTTCTACAAAAACACCTAATTCATGGAACACTGAGTCACTCTAACTTTGTTACACAAAATGAAATACTTCAGAAGAAATACAGGATTTCATAATTCACAGCAGAATCAAGGAACAAAGGGTCACATGAAATGCTTTGGCATTTCAAAGTTGGACAGACCCTTCAATAAGAAGGCCACAGTCATAAATACTGATGGAGTTCTCTCAACAGGGTCTCAACTTAGAATTAAAATAACTAAATATTAAACTGTCCAACTTAGAGTAATAAAAGATTTCTAGATACAGACTCCTCTGGCCTACAAGCTTCATGCTAACAGCTCAACAGGCACCTGAAGTTTGTCTGAAAAGGGCTGGAATGAACCCATTGTGAGGTTGGACATTTTCCTCTCATACCTTCCTTGTGCAAGCAATGAAAACCAGCAGGGAAGGCAGTGGAAGCTGGCAGAGGGTAGGGTGAGCAGACATCCAATGAAGCCCACAGGGATTGGAGAGGCCAGGGCAGCCTGAGGCACAGCCCATATCTGAATTTAACTGGCCTCAGAGAGGGTTCCTGTAGCTCCCAGCTACAGGCTACAGGAAGCTCTTCATCTGGAAATGAGAGTGAGAGCAGTTTAGGCTGGTGTCTGGCACCCCTGCCAAAGGTGTTACAGGCAAATTCAACTCCTCTAGACTTTTATGGGACACACATCCCTGAAAATAATGTAAATAATTTTTAAAAATAAGAAATCAAGGACCATTGCTTTTTACCATGTTCCACTCAGTGGCCCCAATGTCATTTACCTCACTGGCTTGGAAATGGGCGAATTCTGGAAGCCGTAGATTCCATGGGGATTTTCACTTTCATACAATACAGGAAAAGAAAGAAAACCCAGTTTGAATGGGGTGTTGTTTATTCAAAATCATCCTGGGAGAGCCTTAGGGACTAAAAAGATGGTATGCATCTTATCTATTTGATTTCATAAGTAAACTTAAGAGATTAAACTGGGAAATCAGTTCAATAACCTTGAAAGAAAAAGTATATATGCTTTTAAAGGTTTTATCTTTATTTTTGATTACAAAAGAAATATATATGTGTTGGAAAAATTCAAAAACTTCAGCAAGATATAAATGGAAAGCCAAAGTCTCATATAAGCTCACTGCTCTTCAGAAATAATAGAGGGCCTACAGACACTATCATTAGTTTTAAAATGGTGATTGAAAAACAGAACAGGGGAAAAAACAGCCAGGAAGAAAAATGGCTTGAGAACAGTGGTGCTGTGGACATTTGTTTGGTACCTGTCACCTCTTTCATTGGCATCCTTAACACTTTTTCTCTGTTCGCAAGAAGGTGGACTTAGTGTGTCCTGTAATGTGTCCTCTGATAAAAAATACAAACACTCTGGCAGCGTAACTGGATTAAAATAAGAAAAAAAATCCTGAGGCCTGGAAAGGTATTGGTCATGTGCAGGGAATATTTTGAAGACCAAAAACATTGTTTGGGAGTCATGCTGCCACAGCAACGGTTTTATGAGAGCCCTTCTGCTGCTACACAATATTCCATAAGGAAGCCTGCCCCCTTCACCAAGCACAGCCACCCTCCTGCCAATGCCCCACAACCAGGAAGCAGCCCTAGCTCGCATCACTGCTGTCTTCACACATTTCATTCCAATAAATAAGGATGCACTTATCCCTTATGCCCTTGTCATGGTCAGCACCTGGTATACAGAGTGCTGGATCTGCCCCTGCACCCCACTGATCCCACCCAAGAAGGCTTCTGACCCTGAGGGTCCCAGGCAGGCTTCAGGGTCTTTCTGCTGTTGGTCAGCCGAAGTGTTCTGCAATTTGTCTTTCTAGCTGAGACCAATAGAACATCAGCTGAAGTCACCATGGGCTCGTCAGAAGCCATCATCACTGCTATCAAAACCCAGGTCATAAAGCAAATTCTTCCCTGGCTCCTTGCATAGAGAAGGCTCTGAATTTCCAAGGTCACTGAGGTCACTGAACCAGCTCATCTGGTGGTCCCTCTGTGAACTGCTGGAAAGCAGGCTGCTGTCTTGGGAAGAGCACCCACTGAGCTGCAAGAGGCTCCCTTGCACTGCCTTTGCTGTCTTACTGGGCATGACTGTTCCTCCCCAAACAGGGCAGACTGGCTTTGTGGGGCTCCTGGAGCACTGCAGATGCAGGGGCTGAGCAAGGGGTTCCTGCTGCCCCACCAGGGGCCTTTGTGGGCCAGAAACTGGAGGCTGAGGACTCTGATATTTAGAATTGAAAACACAGGTCTTCCTTGGGGTTTGTTCCATCTTCCTGGCTAGAAGCCTGCCTCTGTGGGCTTTCCTGGGCTGCTGCTTCTTGCCTTTCGCCCGTCTTTCTACAGTCTTGCCTTTCTGTTTAGTCACCAACTGTTCACACGGGTCATACAAAAACATGCTTTTGGCTTGGTATTTTTGGCAGGTGTTCTTAGTGTTGATCGCAAAGTTGTTTAAGTCCAGGGACATGAACTGTGAGGCTCCTTGAGAAACTGGGTCCTTGACACCAGGAATTTTGTGGCCTGAGATGCTGGAGCCGTGGTTCTTAGGACCTGTTTTAGAATTCTTGCAGTTAATCTGCACTGCCTTGTCCTTTACATGCCCATTTCCTTTATGGGGCCCAACTGTCAGCAGTGCATCCTCTTCTTGGAGAGCATCACTCTTTGCTCTTTGACCCCAGACACCAGATTCTTCAGGCCTTAGGGAGCCCATACTGGGATTCCACACAGTAGGGAGGGCCTGGGCCTGCCATATAACTGGTTCCTTAGAGGCATATTTTTCCTGCCTGGTGAGAGTGAGGCTCTGGGCCAGAGGTGGCGATGTCTGAGAAGTGCTGTCTTTCATGTGCCCAGGTACCCGAGGCACTGAGATCAAGCTCTTCAGCTCTGCTAGGACACTGGGCATATTCAGCTGGCCTAGGTGGTCACACAGCTGCTGGAAGTCCTTACTCTGCTGGACAACTAGAGCTTCAAGGTGCTTCAAGTTGGATTTCATTTCTATAAACTCTGCTTCTCTCTGGGGAGAGGAAGTGAGAAAAAGGAGAGTGATGGACAGTGGAAGTCAGAATGCACAACAAAACATGGGAACAGATCAATGGATGTGCTAGCAGAACCAAGGCTTGCCCCTTGCAGGGCACCTCACAGGGTAAGCATGACTACACTCTGGAACTGGGCCCCTGGGGCCCACATTATGCCAGGGAACCTTGGGGGAAGAAAGCTAACCTATACTGTGGCCCATTACCAAGGGGCCTGTACTAGCCTCTGGCCTTGGCTGAAAATTTGCAACTTTAAAGGTGTCTCTCTGGGTCTAGTGACAAAGCCAAAAATGCACTTGAGGAAAGCGGTTGGGGTTTACACTTACAGCTTCAAATCTCCTCTGCATCTCAAGGATGGCCTGCTCCTTGTTGCCTTTATCCTGTACTGCCTCAAACACCACGTCATTCTGGGCCCGTGTAGTCTCTTGCACTAAATACAAAATAATGACAATTCACCTCATGAAGACTATGGTTGCTCCACCTGCCCATACCATAGCAGTTAAAGGGAGGAGCTGGATGCACACATGGGCCACTGAGTCTTCTCTGCTAGCACCCAGGGCTCTGCCCTCCCAGACCAGAGTGGTTGATCCAGACTCTTCTTCACTCCCTCCCTGAGAAGATTCTGGCCAGGCCAGACCCAACCTCAGCACCTCAGATCCTGAGAATCTGTTGCCCACATGACAGCACCAGCCTCCTCCATGGCTTTCCTTCCAGGCCCCATCACCAGAGTGATCTTTGTAGAATGTAGAATGACCCCTCTAAAACCTTCACTGAAATTTTCAATGGCACTCCACTGGCCACTGGACAAAATCTAAATCTTTTTTTTTTGTTTGTCTGAGACAGAGTCTCACTCTGTTGCCCAGGCTAGAGTGCCATGGCATCAGCCTAGCTCACAGCAACCTCAAGCTCCTGGGCTCAAGCGATCCTCCTGCCTCAGCCTCCCGAGTAGCTGGGACTACAGGCATGCGCCACCATGCCCGGCTAATTTTTTCTTTATATATTTTTAGTTGTCCAGCTAATTTTCTTTCTGTTTTTAGTAAAGACAGGGTCTCGCTCTTGCTCAGGCTGGTCTCAAACTCCTGAGCTCAAACGATCCACCTGTCTTGGCCTCCCAGAGTGCTAGGATTACAGGCTTGAGCCTGGCCTAAATCTAAATCTTTAAATTGGCTAACAAGACCTAGGCTCACTTCCCTTTACTCACTTCTCTTCCTCTTCATCCCTAGGCTCTGTTTTCTGAGCAATTTCTCTCTTACTACTGGCCTTTGTGCAAGCTGTTTCCTTAGCTTGGAGGAGTCCTGTTTCTATCCCTGTCACCCAACCCTCTCCCTAAACATCACCTTAGTTCAACTAATTTCTATTCTTCCTTCTGCTCTCAGCAGTCACCTCCTCAGAAAACACCAGTTCCCACCCAGCTTGGGTGCATCTTCTCTGTTGGTGGCACCATGTGTGTGCCCTACCATCACTTATAGCCCTTCACTTATTTATCCCCTGTTTACTCTTGGACCCGAATAAACTAGGGGACTGGGTGCTAACCACAGCAGGACTGATAGTGATTTTCCTCTTTGGCATGAGAAATTTTTTTTTTTTTTTTTTTTTTAGACAGAGTCTCACTCTGTTGCCCGGGCTAGAGTGTCGTGGCGTCAGCCTAGCTCACAGCAACCTCAAACTCCTGGGCTCAAGCGATCCTTCTGCCTCAGCCTCCCGAGTAGCTGGGACTACAGGCATGCGCCACCATGCCTGGCTAATTTTTTCTATATATTTTTAGCTGTCCAATTAATTTCTTTCTATTTTTGGTAGAGACGGGGTCTCGCTCTTGCTCAGGCTGGTCTCGAACTCCTGAACTCAAACGATCCGCCCACCTCGGCCTCCCAGAGTGCTAAGATTACAGGCGTGAGCCACCGCGCCTGGCAGAGAAAAATTTTTTTTTTAATTTTAGTTTTCACAGGGTTCCCTGGGATGCCTGGGGAGATTCTATACATACCCACACACATTTATTCAATGACACATTGTATTGCAATTAATCATTGCTGTTCTTTTGCTAAACTATAGGTCATGTGAAGTTGCTCTTAGATTTATTCAACAAATGTTTAATGAGCACATACTATGTGCCAGGCACTATGAAAATAAGCGTGATCAGGACAGATAAAGCCTTCTTGAAATTACAATCTAATCAGAGAAAATAGGTAGTTAATAAGTAATTATACAAATAACTATTTATAGATATAACAAGTGCTCTAAAGGAAGGTATACCAAGCTTGAGACCATGCAACAGGCAGACCTAGTCAATCTCAGGGGTAAGATTTCCCTAAGGAACTGATATTTAGCTGAATTATCATTAACCCATGGAGGAAAGAATGTTGCCAACAGAAGAAAGAGTATGTTCCAAAAAGAGGAACAATGAGATCAGTGTGGCTGAAGCATGGTGAGCACAGGGCTGGGAGGCAGGCCACACCTGGCTAGAGGAGTATGTGGGCCATGGAAAGATTTGTGGACTTGATTCTAGACTTTATTCACAGACACAGTTAAGCAGAGAGTTTGCATGATTACATTTTCTCTTTAAAAAGAAGCACTTTTTCTACAATTCAAATGATAAACTGGAGGATGAAAGAACAGAATAGAGATCAGAAATGACACAAATTATAGGGGATTTTATGGTCAGGCATGGTGGCGCAAACCTGTAGTCCCAACTATTGGGGAGGCTGAGGCAGGAGGATCACTTGAGCCCAGGAATTTGAGGTCATAGTGAGCTATGATCACACCACTGCACTCTATCCTGGGTGACAGAGTGAGACGATGTCTCAAAAAAAGGGGGGGGTGGATTTTAAATCAGCGGAAAAAAGATGGATTATTCAATCATAGCATTGGGACAAACTGGGTAGCCATTTACCAGATAAGTAACTTGACTCTCTAATCCTCATAATCCTGTTAAGAATATCAAAGCTCCATAATATGATTTAGTTTAGAAAAGATCCGAAGTTCTTTTACTTCTCATTCAGGCTTATTTCAAAGTGTTTGTTTTTTTTTTTTTTTTGGAGACAAGAGTCTTACTGTGTTGCCAGGGCTAGAGTGCAGTGATGTTGTAGCTCACTGCAACCTCAAACTCCTGGGCCCAAGCGATCCTCCTGCCTCAGTCAGCCCCCCGAGTAGCTGGGACTACAGGCACGCGCCACCACACCCAGCTGATTTTTCTATTTTTTGTAGAGACGGGGTCTCACTCTTGCTCAGGCTGGTCTTGAACTCCTGAGCTCAAATGATCCTCCTGCCTCAGCCTCCCAATTTGCTAGGATTACAGGCACGAAGCCACTGCACCTGGCCTGTCTGAATCTATTAATTGGAGATTTACAGTTTTATCTGAAGGTTTATTGTCAGACACAGTGCTAGGAGCATGGGAAACAATTGTGAACAAAACAGTCTACCTACATGAATTTTGCAGTCTAGAAGAGGACAAAAATAACAATAAACAAGTAAGTAAACATGCACATAAATTAATACAAATTGTAATTGATGCTATGATAGGGATTATGATACAAATAAGTGGACAGGGGCACCTACTTTAGATAAGGTCATCAGAGATGGAGACAGTTAATGTGAAACCAGAACAATAAAAAGGAGCCAGCCCTGCAAAGATTAGAAGAAAGTGGTTCAGGTAGAGGAAAGAGTGGGTATAAAAGTTCTGAGGCAAAAAAAAAAAAGCCTGTTGTTACTAGGAATAGACAAGCCAGTCTTGCAAAGAGCAGCAAAAATGGTAAATTCTATGTTTTAAACTTTTTTTTAAATTTTAGAATGTTACAGGTGTACAAATGTTTCGGTTACAATTGCTTTTATACCATTGGAGTCAAAGTTACAAGTGTGCCCATCCCCCAGTTCCTGTAAATTTTATGTTATGTGTATTTTACCACAGTTTTAAAAAATTGGGTCCAGTAATTTTGCACAGGAAGCTTTGAGAGATGTTGTCTTCTGTAGTCTCCTAAAGTTGGGACAAAATTGAACAAACAAGATGACTTTGGTGCTTTGGAAAGTGTGAAAACTGTTAATGAACTCTGTTCTCCACTATTGGGAGAAGTAACCAAAATTAATGGAGCTCTTGCAGAAAACCCAGAATTTGTCAACAAATTTTATTATGAAGATGGTTGGCTGATCAAGGTGACACTGAGTAACCCTTCAGAATTAGATGAACTGATGAGTGAAGAAGCATATAAGAACTAAGTAAAACCTATTGAGGAGTGAAAATGGAAAGCCTAAATAAACTAGTATGAAACAACTCAATTCAGCATTGTTATCTGAAATTAGTAGTAGATAGAAGTCTGAAAATAGCAACTTTTGGCACAGCAATGGGAAAAGAAACTATTGGCAACATTGCTACTGGAAGAAAATACTGCTTAACTTTCTAATGATTACAGATAAACACAATATGCAATGCATCTTTTTCACAATACCCTATGATTTTTAGGTTATGCTCTAGGTGCTAGTTATAATATTCAAAACACATGAAATTGTCCATGGTAAAAATTATTAAAACTATGTGATACAAATATAATATTTTTATCTTAAGCCTCATATAATATTGTAACTTGATTAAATCTATCCCTAGATTTGGGTCAAAATATTTAATGATCTTTCCATTGAAAATAACTGCGAGTACAGAAAAGTTTTTGTTAATTGTATAGTGTCAGATGAAGAACAATACTATCTTAATTTTGTATTATACTGCATTTGCTGGTGCTATTTTTATACAGTGAAGCAACAGCTTTCCAGCAAAATAAGACACAATTTAATAATAAAACATTCAACTTCATTTTTAAAAAATAAGAATTTTTTAGAAAGAAATTTTTTCCTCCTCCTCAACACAAGTTAAATTCCAATGTGTCAATCAGTTAGAAAGAGGCTGTTTACTTATGTACTGAATTACTGCTCCTAAACTCAATTAGTCAAATATTTTTCAGACTTCCATGTAGATATTTATAGCAGGGAGCAAATGTAATTATCCTTCCCTAGAAGAGTTCCTAAATAGCAATGTTTCTTAGCAACAGTGGACATCACCGACCCTCACAAAAGCAGAGGATAAGAAAGGCAAGCAAAGTGTTTGATTCTGGATTAACTGCTCATAAAGCATCCACCTGTGGTCCCACACATTTGGTCCTTGTCCCCAGGGAAACATATGTTTGGGGTCTTCTCCTTAACAAGAGCTTTTGCATGGAGCTCATTACTTCCAATATCTATCCATTTTTTCTCTTTTAAAAATTTTTTTGCGTTATGAAAATAACTCAAAATCATAACAGGATAAATAGGCATACAATGAAAACCGATTGACTTGGCTAGGTGAAGTGGCTCACACCTGTAATTCTAGCACTATGGGAGGCTGAGGTGGTAGGTTCACTTGAGTTCAGGTGTTCAAGACCAGCCTGAGCAAGAGTGAGACCCTGTCTCTACTAAAAATAGAGAAATTAGCCAGGCATTGTGGCGGGAGCCTGTAGTCCCAGCTACTCTGGAGGCTGAGGCAGGAGCATATAGCTTGAGCCCAGGAAGTGGAGGTTGCAGTGAGCTACGATGATGCCACTGCACTCTTCCCAGGGAGACAGAGCAAGATTCTACCTCAACAACAACAACAAAAAAGAAACCGAAAAGAACTGAGAATTGCTGGGGAGGAGATCCACAAAAAATAATAAATAAATGAAAAATAAAAATGATCGAATCTCTCCCCTGCGAACCTTGGGTCCCACTTCCAGATTTAACAATATTAGCAGTTTCTGGAATTTTACATTAATACATGTGCATGTCTGTGTATGTGGATACATTATAGATCCTGTGTGTGTGTCTCTAGAAGAGGACTAATTTCATTTCCGATTTGACTATAAACATTAGATATTTTTAGCTTTTGTGTAAAAATGCCATTTAAAATCCATTTCCATATTTTGGACAATATCTCTGTTTTCCTGTTAAGATGAATTTTAGAAAATTCATTTCTATAATATTTTAGCAATGTGACAGGGACTTAATTGAGATGAGATCAAATTCTGATGCAAGATAGAAAGGAATGCTTTTCCATTGATGGCTAGTGATTTTCCTTTTACTCTAGTTTTGTTCTTCCTGCTGTGCTGATAAGAGCCTGAGGAAGGATCTCGGAGTCTCCTTGTGTAAGAGGAGACCCCTCAGACCCTACTTTTTTTAGGGACACCCTTCCCAATTCTCATTGGCTTGTCACACTCCCCAAGATGTCTTGGAGCAAACTGTGTATATGAGAACAGCACCTTGTTGTTATAATTTAACAATGAACATATATTTCCATTCCACCATGTTCTTATAGATGGATCTCATTCTTCTTAACAATTATATGTATTTTGCTTGGAAAGACTCTTCTCATTCTAAAATTATAAAAATGATGACCATGCTTTCTTCTAGTTCTTTTTATGATTTAATCATTATACTTAATATATTGACTCATATGAAATTTATTCTGATATATAAAGTTACCTATTTTCCAAAAGAGACATTTTCTGATTTTGATACTGGCTGCTCCTTTTTATTTTCCTAATTATCATGTTTTGCAATAGAGGTAACACCTATCAGGTGAAAATACTACTCTCCACTTAATTGATCTACCTAAACTCAAGGTAAAGCAGGATGTAGGTGGCCTTGGTAATTCATTTTATTACTCTGGTCCTTGGTGTCCTCAGCTGAAGAACAGGAGGAGTTAGATTAGATAGCTACAGTGACCCTTCTGGTTCGGCAGGCAGACTGACTGGGAAAAGATTTCAAGACCTCATTTTATGAAGACACCAAATGCACAATGACACAAGACAGCACTTCCACACAGTATCATTACTTCCCCATCCCTGTTGAGTGCAGTGAGTGCATACTGAAAGCCTGCAGAATGCACTGAGTGGAGTTTATTGTTCTAGGCCAGCAAGATTGGGCCTGGCCATATGATAGAGGATTTTTCTGGTTCCTCTCTCAGTGACTAATTTTCTGCTCCTGATCATTGCCTACCAAGAAGGGAATGATTCTGGACAGGCTATTTGTGCCCATTTTCAAGAATGACCTTCCTAACCAATATGATGCCACTGTGTTTGTTACTGTTTGCCCTCTTAGTGTGGCTCCCTCTTCTGAGTCTTACCCTCTGAAAATTAGGGAACCTTCAGGGGCAAAGGATCAGGATCCCTGTGCTTACTATAAGGCAGATTCAGTTCTAGTCCTCTCTCTGCCTTGATCTTGTATTGGGGTCTTGGGTACTTCCATTCCCTTTTCTGGGACTTAAATGTCATGCTTTTGCCGTAATCCTCCTTTTTGTACTTCACCCAGTTTTAAATCTAGAACAAAAAACAGAATGCTTTCCTTGGGCACTTACAAATGAGTATTCTATCATGTTATACAAAGGAAGCATCCCTGATTTGCTTCTGCTCTCTGCTTTGCTACTTCTTGTCAGGGTAACTGTCCTAGGCTTCCAGAACCACTTTCCAAACAGATACTATAGTTGCCCTGTGTGTGGGATACCCAGGTTGAAAGCCAGGAGACAGTACAGTGCTTCTTTGCAAACAGATGGGGATTAATTTCTAGGCCACACAAAGGCATTAATTTTGTAAATCATGAGCAATCCATCCCATGGCATTTTAATAAGTTGTCTTTAACTTGTTTAAAATAAAAAATAAACATAAAAAGGCAAACAAGTACAGATGCACAGTCATCAGCTTACTATTTTGCTGAGAAACTGGTGATTCTAGAGAAGTATCCACCTAATGACAACTGTGCATTGGCTCTCTTCTGTTTATAAGGGCTAGGCCCATGGTTTCATCTAAATGTAAATCACTAATTGGCAGAGTAGGGGATTTTACAAACAGCAAACTGTAACTGAAACTGAGAATGATGTGATTAGCTACAAAATAGCTCTCACTGAAACCAAGGCAGCAAGAAGAACAGTGGGTGACTGGCGTATTTCTAACTCCTAAGGGGGCAGTGTCTCTACAGACAGCACAGGCAGCAATTCATTTGGGACTCAGGGATGCTGCTGAAGTGAATCAGCAGCATCCCTGAGTGAGATGAGAAACCTGGTGGAGCTACCTGCTCTCAGGCAGCAGGTTTACTGGGTGGGGGATTTTTACTTCACAAAAGGCATCAAGGGACCACAGCATTGTCACACAGAGGTGAGTCCCACTACCCAGCTTAGCGAACCCCACATTTCTTCAAGACTAATCTGATGTACCCACCCATCTCTCTGAAACCCTGTATAGAATCTCACCACTAGAAACCTGGCCAAGGTCAGAAAGTTCACGTTTACAACTTGCCAGTGCCCTATGCTGATAATCTCAAACATGAGGCACTCACATGTCTTGGCCACAGTCTCCAAAGAATCCAAAATAGATTGGCTTCTTGAACTGAGATGTTCCTCAGACTTTTCCACAGATGTCTGTAACTAAGAAACCCAAAATTAATAGGAGTTCAAAGACCATTGCCTTATTTTATTAACCTGGAGAATTGTCATTTAATGATTAAAAAGGGGTAATTTAAATATTGCTATTCTACATGAACTAAAGCCAATACAATATAATTATTAAACTTCTTAAAATGTAAGATGTTCTAGCTCCTTGAAATGTAGCCATACTTACCCTGTGAATGCTTTCTCTAACATGGGAAACAAAGTTGTATAGAGTGTCACTAAAATAGGAGAGAAAAAAGAAAACAAATCTTTGTGAAATACTGAAGTGATATATAACAATTGAGTCCATTAATATGGCAGGTTTTCACCTAGGTGAGCATCAAAACACTGCTTGATCAGAGTTGGAGACTTGAACCTGAGAAACCTTAGCGCCCAGTCAGAAAAAAGGTTATTTTTTATAACCTTGATTCCAAGGAGAATCACTTTTTTTCTTTTTAAAATCCACTTTTTATGTATCTTAAATAAGGTTAAATTTTAGCAGCTTAAGTGGTTAGCCAGAGTAGAAAAGACCACCTTTCCTGTTTATAGTAAACTGGTTTCAGAAGGTAGTAGCAGCTTCTTTCTGGTAGTCCAAAATTCCTGAACACATCTTAGTCTTATCATCATTTTGACTATAAAAATGAGGTTAGTATAAAAACAATTTTGGGAAAAAATATGTTACCCAGCTGGCATCCAGTGGCACCATCACAGCTCATTGTAACTTCAAATGTCTGGGCTCAGGTAATCCTTCTACCTCAGCTTCTCGAGTAGCTGGAACTACAGGTGCACGCCACCACAACCGGCTCATTTTTTAAAAAGTTTTTCGTAGAGATCAGGTTTCGCTACGTTGTCCAGGCTGGTCTTGAACTCCTGAGCTCAAGCAATCCTCCCACCCCGGCCTCCCAAAATGCTGGGATTACAGGCATGAGCCACCACACCTGCCCAATTTCTTACTCTTAAAGAAGACTCAGACAGGACTGTCATTAACAAAACTGTACAGATTTTGTTGCTTTAATCTACAAAATACAAATGGAAATATCAAACTTTGAAACCCAAAAAGACAACTCTTCATACCAAGTCTTTTGGATGCTCCACCAGACCAACTTTATAAAGAGAGTTTTTAGGAATCTATAAACCATATACTTTATGTGAAAGAGATTAGAACATTACTTGAAAATAATAAAAATATTAAAAATGAAAACAGTTAATAAATTAAGGATGTTAAGAACAGAATATTATTACATTATAAAAGTAGAGAACAAGAAAGAGTACCTAGAAATTTAAAATAGCAGAAATTTTAAAATTAAGTACAATAATTAGAAGATACAGTTAAGCAAATATGATAGAAAATAGAAAAAAAAACAAAAGAGATGGAAAGTAAATGAAATGTTAAAAAAATTAGAGGATCAATCCAGGAGATCCAGAACATCCTCAAAATTGGAGATCCAGAATAAGAGAGGAGTGAAAATAGAAAGAGATACAAGAAAATGTTCCAGAGCTGAAGGAAACAAGTTTATAGATTGAAAGGAACAATCCAATGCCCAGACAATATAACATGCCACATCAAAGCATGTTACTGCAAACTTTCAAAACTCTACAGATAATTAGAAGATCCTAAAAATTTCCAGGAAGAAGTGCTCAAGTAATATATACGGGTTCAGGAATCAGAATGGCATCAGACCTCTTAAAAGCAACATAGGAAGTGATAAGACAATGGAACAATGCCTTAGAAATTTTGAGGGAAAATAATTTCTAATTTAGAATTCTACATCCAGCCTAATTTGCAATCAAATGTGAGGGGAAGGCCGGGCACAGTGGCTCACGCCTGTAATCCTAGCTCTCTGGGAGGCCGAGGCAGGCGGATTGTTTGAGCTCAGGAGTTCGAGACCAGCCTGAGCAAGAGCGAGACCCCGCCTCTACTAAAATTAGAAAGAAATTAATTGGCCAACTAAAAGTATATACAAAAAATTAGCCGGGCATGGTGGCGCATGCCTGTAGTCCCAGCTACTCGGGAGGCTGAGGCAGCAGGATTGCTTGAGCCCAGGAGTTTGAGGTTGCTGTGAGTTAGGCTGACGCCATGGCACTCACTCTAGCCCAGGCAAAAAGAGTGAGAGACTGTGTCTCAAAAAAAAAAAAAAAATGTGAGGGGAAAATAAAAAATCAGATATGCGAGCTCTCAAAAATTATTTAGGTGCCACATACTTGTTCTCACAAAATTTCTGGAGTATTTTTTTTCTCACTCCACCAAATCCAAGGAGTAACCAAGAAGGAAGAGGATGTAAGATCAAAGTAGCAGAGGAGGTAGGAATACCCAGGATGGGTGAAGGGAGGATTCAAGATAACAGCTGTACTGCAGACCTAGAGAGAACCAAGTTCAGATTAGAGTCAGCAGAGAGGCCTCCAAGAAGAAAATAATAGAGCTCTAGGGGACTGGTAGCAGTGTCCAGGACTACACTAGCTGTGGTACAGGGAAGGGTATAGTGTACTCTGGGTATAGTGTACACAGGACTAATTCTGAGACTTGATTGGGGAGTTGTCCATGGCAGGCAGCCAGCCCTTGGCAATTGTATGAGCCTGGCAGAGACTTCCAGTGGTCTAATTTTCTTCCTTGGAAATCAGAATCCTGATTTTCCCCACCCCCGGACACATCGTTACCCAGATAAATGACATTCCCAGACCCCTCTGCAGCTAGGTATATCCATGTGAGTAAATTTTAGCCAGTAAGAGATATAGCAGAAGTGCTGCATGCAAATTCCAAGATTTCTAAAGGGAAGGGAAGATACCCTTCTTCCTCCTTCCATCCATCAGCTGTCTGGAACCCTGATGTAACAGCTGGAGCTCCCACAGCCATCAAGCACCATGAGGACAGGAGCCACACTTTAAGGATGAAAGACTAGAGTGCTGGGAGAATCCAGGTCCTTGAGGACCATGAAGCTACCATTCTAGCCCTAGACCACACACTTAAGGATAAATTTGCATTAAAGAAAAATAAAGCTTTTTAAAGCCTCTGTTATTATGAGTATGAATGTATGTATGTTATAAGCAGTTAAACCTAATTTTAACTAATAAAATGAGCCACCCAATATCCTTTTAAAAATATTTTACCTTTTGAAATTTTAAAAGTAACATGAAATTAATATGTATGTGTGTGTGTGTGTGTGTGTTTTATGAGTTTTAACACATATTTAGGATTCATGTAACCATCATACCACAATCAGGATACAGAATAATTCCATCACCCCCAAAAAAATCCTTCATGTTGTTCCTTGGTGGTAAAGCCTAGCCCATATCCCTAATCCTTGTTAACCACTGATCTATTCCCCATCCCTACAGTTTTGCCTTTATCAGAAGACCATATAAGTAGAATCATACAGTATGTAATCTTTGGGATTGATTTCTATCACTCAGCATAATGCCTTTGAGATTCATCCATGTTGTTATGTTTATCAATAGTTTATTCCTTTTTATTGCTAAGTAGTGTTCCATTGTATGGGCATACTATAGTTTGTTTATCCATTCATACGTTGAAAGACATATGAGTTGTATACACTTTTTGGTGATTATGAACAAAGCTGCTATAAACATTAGTGTATAGACTTTTGTGTAAATGTAAGTTTTCATTTATCTAGGGTAAATACCTAGGAGTAGAACTGCTGAAATGTATAGTAAGTTATGCTTAATTTTATAAGAAACTGTAAAACTTTTCCAGAGTGGTTGTATCATATTGCATTGCCACCAGCAAGAGTTCCAGTTGCTCTATATCCTTGCCCAGTACTTGGTATTGTTAGGTTTTGTTTGTTTTAACTTTAGCCATTCTAATAGATGCTCAGTAATATCTCATTGTGATTTTAGTTTGTATCTCCATAATGGCTAATGATGTTGAGTATCTATTCATGAGTTTATCTGCCATCTTTACATTTTCTTTGATAAAATGTCAATTCAAATCTTTTCCCATTTTTTATCAAGTTGCTTATTTTCTTTTTTAAATATTTATTTATTTATTATTATTTTTTAATATTTTGCTTGTTTTCATATTAAGTCTAAAGAGTTCTCTGTATATTCTTGATACAAGTCCTTTTTTGTTTTTTTGTTTTTGAGACAGGGTCTCTTTCTATTGCCCAGGCTACACTGCAGTGGCATGATTATAGCTCACTGCAACCTTGAACTCCTGGGCTCAAGCAATCCTCCTGCTTCAACCTCCCAAATAGCTGGGACTACAAGGGCACACCACCACATCCAGCTAATTTTTTAATTTTTTTTTTTTTTTTGAGACAAAGTCTCACTCTTTTGCCCAGGCTAGAGTGAGTGCCGTGGCATCAGCCTAGCTCACAGCAACCTCAAACTCCTGGGCTCAAGTGATCCTGCTGCCTCAGTCTCCCGAGTAGCTGGGACTACAAGCATGCGCCACCATGCCCGGCTAATTTTTCTATATATTTTTAGTTGCCCAATTAATTTCTTTCTATTTTTAGTAGAGACGGGGTCTCGCTCTTGTTCAGGCTGGTCTCGAACTCCTGAGTTCAAACAATCGGCCCGCCTCGGCCTCCCAGAGTGCTAGGATTACAGGCGTGAGCCACCGCGCCCGGCTAATTTTTTTGTAGAGACAGGGTCTCCCTATGTTGCCCAGGCTGGTCTCAAACTCCTGGCTTCAGCGATCCTTCCATCACAGCTCCTCAAAGTGGTGGGATTATAGACATGAGCCACCACAACTGGCCTCAAAAGTCCTTTTTTGAAAATGTGGTTTACAAGTATTTTCTCTGAGTTTATAGCTTGTCTTTTCATTCTCTTAGAAGTGTCTTATCAGAGCAAAGTTTTAAATTTTAATTAAAAAAAAAAAACACCAGGAAACTTAGTCCGATCATTCATACTTTGAATTCTGGTTTCCTTCCCCAATCTACCTGCTACAAGGAAATATTGAGAGGAACTTTAAAGCAATGTTTAAAAGGAAGGTTTTTTTTTTAGCTGCAAAAACCTTATTCAAACAAAATATAATCCAAAATCCAAAAAAATTAAGACTGCTCTGTCTGAAGCACTAAGGAGGTAGAGATAGCTTGCTCATCTGCAGTCTCCTACTTCAGACCTAAAGGGCCTCTAAAAAAATGGTAGCGTTTTAGATCCTGAATTCCTAGGGGAAAAGTTTGTCAAAGTTTGGGCAATGTTTATAAATCAACAGCATTAAAAACTTCAAATAGAGCATTTTGCTTTTCTCTCTAAAAGAAGATAAGTATACAAGAGACAAGATTACCTAATTTAGGAGTTCTTTAAGAAATTCTGTCTCTTTCAACATGAATGTACTAGTGGTAAGTAGCAATAGATTTTCACTGTCACAGAAATAATAAAGTGAAATATTTCTGCTTGGGTGTTATGATTTCTATGATACATAAAGATGTTGCCTTGATAATAACTTACTACCAAGTAATACACAAATTAATTTTCCTGTGACTCCAACTTCCTTTTAAAAAATTAATATTACATAACAGGGCCAAGGGTGGTGGCTCATGCCCATAATCAGAGGCCAGGGCAGGAGGATCACCTGAGGCTAGGAGTTCAAGACAAGCTTGGGCAACATAACGAGACCCTGTCTCTCCAAAAAATTTAAAAGTTAGCTGGGTGTGGTGGTGCACACCTGTAGCCTCAGCTACTTGGGAGGCTAAGCAGGAGGATCATTTGAGCCCAGGAATTTGAGGTTCCAGTGAGCTATGATGACACCACAGCATTCTAGCTCTGGCAAGAAATCAAGACCCTGTTTTAAAAAATAGTATTAATAATAATAATAATATAACAGTCCTAATTTATCTCACATATTTTCTAAAAATATATATATATAACACCAACAACTAAGAACATGTATAAAATTTGGGGTATATTTTTTGAAATACCAACATTTCAAAGTGAGAAAATCAGCCTGAACTAAGACTTAAGAATTCATGCATTATAGTCTTGACCCTAAAATAAATAATGTTATCTAATTTCCTAATCCTGATGATCTAAAAAGAAAACTGGAGGGCAGAATTTTAGGCAAAATAAATATAACATTATTTTTCAGAGAAACCAAAATTGTAGCAGTATATTCAAATCTACCACAAATCAAATTGACAAGACAAAGAGTAATTATTAGATGAACTACAAAGGCAAGAGTTCTATGCAATGGTTAATTTATGTGTCGACTTGATGGGGATAAGAGATGCCCAGATAACGGATAAAACATTATTTCTGGGTGTGTTTGTAAGTGTGTTTCCATAAGAGATTAGCATTTGAATTAGAAGACTAAGTAAAGAAGACTGCCATCATGGATGTGGGTGGGCATCACCCAATCTGTGGAGGGCCAAAATAGCATAAAAAGGCAAAGGAAGGGCAAATTCACTTTCTCTTCTTAAGCTGGGACATCTATCTTCTCCTGCCCTTGGACACCATAGCTCCTGGTTCTCAGGCCTTTGGACTCAGACTGAATTACACCACCGTCATTCCTGGTTCCCTAGCTTGCAGATGCAGACTGGAACTTCTTGGCCTCCATAATCTCAGAAGCCAATTCCCATAACAAATCAATGCTATCATGCAGAAATTGAATTATTTATCAACATGCTGTTTCCTGTTTTGTTCAGAAAAGACGTGCCATCTCATCCACTTGAAAGGTTTGCATACCTGTCACATTTGTCTTTTGCCCTTTTCTTTTTCTCTTCAAACTCTTCCAAGAGGCCTTTTGATTTTCCAATTGACAAAGGAGGAGGAAATAAGCCTCCATCCTTTGTATCTCCTCCAAACAGCTGGGGTTTTGCCTGGTACTTTGTGAAAATGCTAGGTTCACTCTGTTAAATGAAAAAAAAATACCGATATAGTATTTCACACATAAAAATATTTATAGCTTTCACTATTTTCTGTATAATGCAGTCACATTTAAGTGCAAACCATATTGCTAGAAAACAACATAGCATATAGTATTTCCTTTTTATTTCTTTTTCTTTTTTTTTTTTTTTGAGACAGTTTTTTTCTGTCACCCAGGCTAGAGTGCAGTAGCGTTGTCATAGCTCACTGCAGCCTCAAACTCCTGGGCTCAAGTGATCCTCCTGCCTCAATCTCCAAAGTAGCTGAGACTATAGGCACACACCACTGTGCCCGGCTACTTTTTCTATTTTTTGTAGAGAGAGGGTCTCGCTCTTGCTCAGGCTGGTCTCAAATTCCTGGCTTCAAGCAATCTTCCCACCTCAGCTTCCCAGAGTGCTAGAATTACAGGCGTGAGCCACTATGCCTGGCCAGTATTTCCTTTTTATTTCTGTATACAACAGAAAATTATATTTAAAATATCAGCTTAAAGATATCTAAAATGTCAGCTAAAATGGCTTATAATCAATTGCATAAATTTAAAGGCAACAAGAGAGAATTATTTATGCTATCTCTGAGGTGATGTGTTAAAATTTTCATATTAATAAGTTTAACACAAATTGCTGTTGCTCAGCTGCTAGTGAACTAAAGACATGTTGGTAAATTTGACATGGACCGAACAGTGGGCATGCTGGCACATGGTAAGTCATTTTCTGCATTCTTAGGCAAAATTTACTGTGAAACATTCGGGGAATTCATTTATTCCTTCACACCACTAGACACCAATTGTCGTACTGAAATACTTAGAGCATATTCTACTAACTTAAAGTACTGACATATTCTTTTTCATTAAGTCCCTTTTTGATGCAGGTAAGTCTGTATATAAAATTCAACCTAGTTCTACACCCCAAGAAAAATGAAAATATTTCTGACTCACAAGAAAAGACTGGTCGGTTTAAAAATATCAAAGATTATTGCAAGAGACTGTGTTCTTCATTCTGGCCCTTATTCATTAACTTGGGCCTCAGAATCCTCATTTCCTCCTTCTTCAAGGACATAATATAATATAGCTGACTAAAGTCCACAAAGTACATGAAGTTTCTTAGGAAAAAATATCCAACTAAAATAAAATTTATGTTACTTTATTCCTATTTTATAAAAATACCTTTTTCTTATGAAATTCTCACAAACAATAGTATTGACTAGTCTTAGGAAATGTCATGCAATATTTGCCTCTCTCTAGGAATGGTCAAGCGACTGACACTATTCCACGTTGCTTTGGTAATAGAAGAAACTGCAAATATAAATATTTTTTCCATTTTAGACTACCAAGTCAAATGAGTCACCAATCAAGCACAAATCCATTTAGGAAAGCAATTCTTAAAGATGTACAATTCTAAAATATATTCCAACAGAATAAGTATTCTTTATAGTTTATCTCCATAATGACTGTGAAATATGTGCAGAGAAATTCTGAAAATCAGACTCACATCCAGAGAATTCTGTTGTGACTGTTTTGGATGTCTCAGGTGGGCACCAAAGTCCAAGGGTGCTAACAGGGTCTCTGAATTTTCTGGACAGAACTGAGATCCAAAAAGGAATTGGGAATCACTGAGACTAGAATAATCAGTCTGATTATTAATCCAGTTAGATGACTTAGTGGTCCTGAAATTAAGCAAGTAAAGTATATTGAGTGGACAAATATCCTGAGAAAGTGAAATCATAGTTTAGAAATATTTTCAGAATTATTTCAGAATATTTTGAGCAGAGTGCTAGCTTGTTCTTTTCAAGTCTCATGCACACTGTCATTACTACCTACAAAGAAACACAAGGAAATTCTGAATTCTACACATTTTGATTACAATAACTTGGGAACAACCAGACAGAAATTCAGATAGAAAGGACTGATACCATTATTTCTTATATAATAGCATTCTGGACTATAACACCATCTTGGAGATCAAAGTTCATAAAATTTTAGGGATTAAGAGAATATTTTCTTTTTTTCTTATTCCAGAACACTTTTCCTAGGAAAAGAATATTATCTTTTTTTTTCCTTTTTGACAGAGTCTCGCTCTTGTCACCTGAGCTAGAGTGCAGTGGCGTCATGATAACTCACGGCAACCTCAAACTCCTGGGTTCAAGCCATCCTCCTGCCTCAGCCTCCTGAGTAACTGGGACTACAGGCACATGCCACACTGACCAGCTGATATTTCTATTTTTACTAGAGACAGGGTCTCAATCTTGCTCAGGCTGGTCTGGAACTCCCAAACTCAAGTAATCCTCCCACCTCAGCCTCCCAGAGTGCTAAGATTACAAGTGTGAGCCACAGGCCCAGCCTTTCTTTATTTTATTTTTTTTTAATTTAAGAGATAGGGTCTCACTCTATTGCCCAGGCTGAAGTTCAGTGGTGTGATCATAACTCACTGCAGCCTTGAACTTCTGGACTCAAGGGATCCTCCTGTCTCAGCCTCCCAAATAGCTGGGACTACAGTTGTATGCCACTATGTCCAGCTAATTTTTAAAAAATTTTCTTAGAGATGGGGTCTTGCTATGTTGCCCAGGCTGTCTCAAACTCCTGGCCTCAAACAATCCTCCTACATCAGCCTCTCGAGTAGCTGGGATTATAGGCTTGAGCCACCATGGCCGACAAGAATATTATCTTTTTAAAAAATGATTCTGGGCCGGGCGCAGTGGCTCACATCTGTAATCCTAGCACTCTGGGAGGCCAAGGTGGGCGGATTGTTTGAGCTCAGGAGTTCAAGACCAGCCTGAGCAAGAGCAAGACCCCGTCTCTACTAAAAATAGGAAGAAATTATCTGGACAACTAAAAAAAAATATATATAGAAAAAATTAGCCGGGCATGGTGGCGCATGCCTGTAGTCCCAGCTACTCGGGAGGCTGAGGCAGAAGGATCGCTTGAGCCCAGGAGTTTGAGGTTGCTGTGAGCTAGGATGACGCCACAGCACTCTAGCCCAGGCAACACAGTGAGACTCTGTCTCAAAAAAAAAAAAAAAAAAAAATGATTCTGGCCAGGTGCAGTGGCTCATGCCTGTAATCCTAGCATTCTGGCAGGCCGAGGCGGGAGTATCACTTGAGCTCAGGAGTTTGAGACCAGCCTGAGCAAAACTGAGACCCTGTCTCTATAGAAGGTAAATTGGAAGGACACATATTAACTCCTCATGCCTACAGGGAAGGAAAGGAACAGGACTGTAGGGAGAAAAGGAGCCATAATAAAACAAGATACGTCTTGTTATGGACTGAATGTTTATGTCCCCCACGCCCAAAATTCATACATTGAAGATGGTATTTGGAGATGGCCCCTTTAGGAGGTATTTAGGGTTAGATGAGGTCATGATGGTGGGGAACTCATGATAGAATTAATGTCCTTATAAGAAGAGATACCAGACAGGTAGTGCGTGCTCTTGTGTGCCACGTGCCACCTACCTACCTCATCCCCATTATGTGAAGACACAGCAAGAAGGGGGTGACTGCAAGTCAGGAAGCCAACCATGCTAGCACCCTAATCCTGGGCTTCCAGCCTCCATTTAGTCTATGGTATTCTGTTATGGCAGACAAATACAGGCTTCATTCAGACTGAAAAATATGATCAACTCAGATCTGTGCATGAGGATCCATTAAAAAATGTTTTTGAAATAAGATATTGTTCCCTTCACCCGTTTAGCGACTTGTCCTTTCTTGCTTTAAATAGTTCCAACTGTGAACTTCCACCTTGCTTCCCATGGACATCTATGCCAGTCTTGAAACCTCAAATATGAAGTGGATGGTTATAGCAGTAATGATAATGATACAATCACACTTGAACATAGTGCACTGAGCCTACTACAGAAATAACATAAGTAGACAGACAAGACAGTCTTCAAGTTTTTATTTTGAAAGACATCTCTATAGCAATTTGTGTTACCTAATGCTGTTGTATAACCTGAGAAAACATGCTTTTCATTAAAATACATACACATATACACACAAATCATTCCTTTTCCAAATGTTAAATTTAAAGTTATTAGATAACATATAAGTACATATTCTAAGCCAAAGGAACTTTAATATTATTAATACAAACTATTTGTTTATATGTTGATATAACCAAACATATTATTATTGTTATTATTATTATTTTTTTTTTAGAGACAAGGTCTCGAAATGTTGCTCAGGCTGGCCTCAAACTCCTGGCCTCAAGAAATCCTCCTGCCTCAGCCTTCTAAATATAGCAGGGTCTACAGGTGTGTGCCACTGTGCCCAGCTTTCAAATATATTATTAATAAAACAAAAAGAAACTCTAATAGTTCACGATAGCAAGGGGCAATTATTTTTACTCACAGAACCATTTCCTGAGACAGCTAAGATAATGGACTACACACAAATATTGTAATATGGTTTACATAATCATTGCTCAAAATAGGTCTCTGTGACTGGCCCTCTTGGGCCAAAGAGAATAATTAGCTGGGCTGGAAGAAAAACACAAAACAGCTCTGTAAGCCTACTGAAATCATGTAGCATTTATATCTTAAATCTATGATCTAGAATTAAAGATAGATTTTCTCTACTTTACCTCGACTGTAAGCTTTTTTTTTCTTTTTGAGAAAAAAAACAGTGCCCTAGGTTTTTGATCAATTAATAACTCTCTTCAGGCCGGGCACGGTGGCTCACGCCTGTAATCCTAGAACTCTGGGAGGCCGAGGCGGGTGGATCGCTCAAGGTCAGGAGTTCGAGACCAGCCTGAGCAAGAGCGAGACCCCGTCTCTACTAAAAATAGAAAGAAATTATTTGGACAACTAAAAATCTATATAGAAAAAATTAGCCGGGCATGGTGGCACATGTCTATAGTCCCAGCTACTCAGGAGGCTGAGGCAGTAGGATTGCTTGAGCCCAGGAGTTTGAGGTTGCTGTGAGCTAGGCTGACGCCATGGCACTCTACTCCGGGCAACAGAGTGAGACTCTGTCTCAAAAAAAAAAAAAAAATAACTCTCTTCAGAAAAGTGTTAGGGAGGAAAGAAACTATCCAATGATAAGAGTATACCAAAAGCAATTAGAAATCCCTTAAATATACACTACTTCTAGGGCATACCCACCAAATTACCAATGGCAGGCTTATTACAGGATGGTAGACACCAATGTAAGTACCTGGGTGGAGTAGTAGAGGGGGCAATATTTCCATGAGCCTTGTCAACAGCTGGAGTGGCTCTTATCTCCACAATACATACAAATAACACTACACAATTGAACACACATCTTAACATTGTCTTGATTTTGCTGCTTGCTATTTCCTTTCTTCCTTTTTTTTTTTATACCTGTGCTGTAAGAACTCCTTGCTATTTCAATAGCAGTCACCCCAACTGAGGTGAGTGTCCAGATGTGAGACCATGTCTGACTCTCACAGGCCCAGTGCTGGATACAGAGTCATTACTCAGTTAATACACAGAATTGGAATAATACCATTTTTATAATCAGAAAATGGGCAAAAGGAAAAAAAAAACAAGTACGGGAAGGTGCATCAATGACAGAGGAGAGGGAGACAAGGAGAAGAGGCTTTATGGGGTACCTCCATTCTTGTAAGAAGGGGTCTTCTTTCTAAGAAATCAATGAAACCATAAGATCCTCTTAAGTATCAGAGAATACAACTGGAAGACTTACCCAGAGCCTGAGGGAATACCGAGCATCTCTTTGATATTCCAGACATTAAAATTCATTTCTTATTATCCCTATTTGAAAGAACAGAAAAATATTAATTAAGAAAATTAACATAGTAAAATTTTTTCAGATTACTAGTGATTATTATATATAGATAAGGACATTTCAGCAGTTACATTCACATCCAGTTGGTGAAACTTTCCATTACCTATGTGCCAGAAACAGGTATTTTCTGCTGTTAAATTGCATATAAATTCCCATCCATCTTAATACCAGGGAAAGACCAAAGTCACCTGTGAAACAGTAAATTTGCCTTCCATCTTCTGCTCTTTTGCCCTTTTCTCTTGCCACCCTATTAATAATCTGCTTTTAGGAAAGAACCAATAAACCCATCTTTCATTGCCTGGCCCAATGAATGACTTAATCTATTATATTACCTCTCCCAAGAAGACTAGTTCTGCCCAGACCATGAGATATTGGAATCCAAAATCAGCTGTGGAATTTGGGCAGTACAGAAGCTGCATGAGGAAGGAAGGAGTGCTTTGGACAAAAGTGCCTTCCCACGCCTCTCATATAAGCAATTGCCTACTCTGCTTACTGACAACTCAACATGCTATATACTGAGTTCATTATAATGATCATATAGCCTAGATTTTAGAAAAAAGATCAACTTCTAAATTTTGTCTCCTCAATCTCACAAGAACATTCATATTTATCAGATTATATATTATCATTGTGGCATCAGAAAACATGATTTCCCACACATATGGTGGAATAAAGACCATCAGACATCAAATACTGTTCCAACACAAACCTAGGTAAAGGCCGGGCGCGGTGGCTCACGCCTATAATCCTAGCACTCTGAGAGGCCGAGGCGGGAGGATCGCTCAAGGTCAGGAGTTTGAGACCAGCCTGAACAAGAGTGAGACCCCGTCTCTACTAAAAATAGAAAGAAATTAATCGGACAACTAAAAATATATAGAAAAAATTAGCCAGGCATGGTGGCGCATGCCTGTAGTCCCAGCTACTCGGGAGGCTGAGGCAGAAGGATTGCTTGAGCCCAGGAGTTTGAGGTTGCTGTGAGCTGGGCTGACGCCACGGCATTCTAGCCCGGGCAAAACGAGTGAGACTCTGTCTCAAAAAAAAAAAAATTAATAACTTCTGCTCTGAGAAAGACATTGTCAAGAAAATGAGCAGACAAACTACAGACCAGGATAAAAATCCTGCAAAAGTCTTATCTCATGAAAGACTGGTATCCAAAACACACAAAGAACCCTTAAAATGTAACAGTAAGAAAACAACCTGATTAAAAAATGAGCAAAAGATCTGGACAGATACCTCACCAAAGAAGATATACAAATGGAAGGCCAGGTGCAGTGGCTTGCACCTATGATCCCAGCACTTTGCGAGGTCAAGGGAAGAGAATCACTTGAGGCCAGGAGTTCAAGACCAGCTTGGGCAACACAGTGAGACCCCATCTCTACAAAATATCAAAGAAATTAGCCAGGTGTGGTGGCACGAGTGTGTAGTCCCAGCTACTTGGGAGGCTGAGGCAGGAGGAACACTTGAGCTCCAGAGTCTGAAGTTACATTGCTCTATGATCAGGCCACTGGACTCCAGCCCGGGTGACAGAGCAAGACCCTGTTTCAGTGAAAAAAAAAACCAAAAATCAATGGCTGCCAAATTTAGAGGGGTTAGAGGGGAGGAGGAAGGGAGGAACAGGTGGAGCACAGAGGTTTTTTTTAAGGCAGTGAAACTATGATACTATAATGGTGAATACATGTCATAATACTTTTGTTACAACCATAGAATGTACAATACCAAGAGTGAACCCTGATGTAAACTGCAGATTTTTGGTGATAATGATGTGTCAATGAAGGTTCATTGACTGTAACAAATGTACCCCTCTGTTGAAGGATGTTGACACTGGGAGAGACTCTGCGTGTGTGGGGAGGATGATTACAAGAAATCTCTGTATTTTCCACTCTTTCTGTAAACCTAGAACTGCCCTAAAAAATAGTCTATTTCTTTTAAAACTGGAAGCATTCAAACAATCTTTAAAGTGAGCCATAGTCAGGGGAACGACGCAGACCTAAATGCCAAGATTCTGAAAGAACTAACTGTTAGCTATTATTATCTGAATCTTTTTTTTTTTTTTTTTTT